AAAGTAACCGAGAACGATTTGTTATTATTGTTTTACTTGTATTACCGACGAACGAATTAATTTTTTTCTCCTGCTATTATAAATTATAGAGAAATGCAGGAAACTGTGTAATTTAGCGCACTTGGATTCGTACTTGTTTATTATAAGCACCGTTATACTACATCGTATATTCAATTTTGCGGTATTAAATGATTTTCATATTGAAAAAGAAAATTTCCTGTATACAGGTTTATCCAAAAACTCATCCAAATTGCTGAGAAAAACTACAGGATCAAAAAATGTATTATAGGTACCTACAGAATAATTTTGGTGTTATTTTAAAAGTCAAATAGCTTGATGATTAAACTAACATTGTATACTATGCAAATAAGTTAAATAACCAGGCGTACACCTGGTTTTGTATACCATTGAAAAGGTTACATGAACTCGAGAGATATCGAGAACATGAAGCGGTATTGCGGTAGTATGTACAAGGAAATTGCATTTCACTTTGAACGTTTATTATTCTCGATGTAATTTTTCTGATATTCGCCCAGCATACGTTTGAATTTCTGCTAAGACCTCGCAACACTTTTACATAACGATCATTTTCGACTCGCATTCACCTGTGACATATTTCAATCGCTATCTTTACTGTACATCGGTATTGTTACATTGTCTTGTTGGAAATTTTTATTTCGAAAATTTAATATTCGGAGTCTTTAACTAGCATGTTTAACAGTCCTAGCTCTAGAGCAATTTCTCATAAAATGCATGTTATAGCTACTTTATTATACTTGTGATATTATAAATAAATTTTACACACCCTCATTGTAATATTTTATTTAGCATTCACACAGTCTGTAGGTGAAACAACCGGTAAGATTTTAAATATTTGCAGGCTTCAAATAATGTTGGGATAAATGTAAATGCGACTTTTTTATAATACAAGGCCGATCATTTGCATTTCTACTGCATATGATTGTGTAGTTTTAATGAACGTGAAATCGCCACTAGCAGGATTACTTCACAGATAATAATAAAATGATTTCGATTGAGTATTTGCCGACATGTTTGGTAAAAAATATATATTAGTATTACAATATTAAATTGGAATAAAGCAGCTGCTTATTATTATCTTGCACGCATGTTCTCCGCACGACATGACCTGATGTGGCTTTAATTCCAGTGTTTATTATGCTGCAAGAAATAATGTAAAGTTCATTTTAATACGAATAATTAAAAGAGGAATTTGATTAGATTTCATTTAGTTGTTTTCTGGTACTTCACATCTAGTGAAATCATATCTATTCCCAGTACCTACTTACGATTTTTATCAAATAATTTGAGCCTTTTAAAAAAAGTTAGATAAGTTAAAGGTTTAGATGGCAGTCGTAATGATTTACGAATATGTTTAATTGAAAGATTAAATTATTCGACAACAAATAAGACCGATCGACAAGGACGCGTTTAATAATAGCTGTTGCGTTAGAAAAAGTAAATATATGTGATTATTTAACTCTGCCCACATGTATGTATAATAGATTTTAAAATGGTTTTTCTACAGATATAATTATAATAAGTTTCTACTCTTGACACCTTTTTTTAATTGTCTTAGTTCTTATTAATTTTATAATTGTCTAGTAGAGAAATTTGTTATTAATATCAGTACGCCTGGTTTATCCAAAATAATCTGTAGGGAATAGGTTATAAATTTCGAATTTTATTACACAATATGTAGCATTTATAGATTTTTTTTGACTTAGATGTGATTAAATTTATCTTGTTCAGTACATAGAAATGGATTACCAACAGTAATGTAATATTCATTATAAATTCTATTATCAATTTATTGAAGTATCTATTATAGTATATTCTATTATCAGTTGTTAACGTGATCATTTATTATACATACAACGATTTTATGTGGATATATGACGATTACAAATAAAAACATTTACTCCACAACAGTTTTACAATAGTTACTATTTAGGTATGTATCTTACAGGCATATTTTCTCGTTTATATTCGCCCTATATTCTAATGAAATTGTATGTAATTAAATACGCCATTCTAAATAAATTCTATACGCTATTTTTTTCTAATTTTGTTATAGGTTTACTGGTAACCGGAATCTAGTGCGAAAACCGATACATATATTTATGTTCCAGTAAGCTAAAACTAAAAAAATTCAAATTTACGCGTATAAAGTTACACAAGAAACTTTAAAGATATTATAAAGTACGTATTATGTAGCTAAAATGCAGTGAAAGGTATACGCTTTATAGTTTAGGAATGCGCGCAGAATTTGATTGGCAATATGATGCCGAGAAATTCATCGCCTGTTATAGAAAGGGAACTCCTGTTTACCCACCAGGTAAAGAAAATCAAAACAATTTTTTATGTAACACATAACACAACTAAAATATTATCTAATTTATTTTTTTTGGGCCTTAATTTAAAACGATTTACTATTAATTACTTATCGTGATTAAAATAATTGTAATTTTTAAAGCAATTTAATGATTAAATGAAGGAGGTATATTAATAACGTAATTTAATAATACAATTATCTATAATAAAATTACTTACGCTTTAATTTATAATTAGGTATGAGTAGTTTTTTGTGCTGATGAGTATATTTTTCGTTTATTTCCACAGACTATTAATATGATCCAATTTCTCTTGCGAAATAGGACGTTTTTTAGGATGTATGTTCATTTTTAAAAGGAAAAACTGCGGTGTTTTCCTGAAGTTTCTAGGTCACAAAACTGATGGATCCGGCCGTCAGAAAAATAGTATCATTAGGGGTTCATACAATTAATTTAACCATTCATTTCAGTGCGCATCCTGTCTTGAAATAAACTCTAGCGACCGATCGAACGAACTCTAGCTATTCAAAACACTGTAATTTAATGGTTACCCGTTGATTATAAATTAATAATTCATGTTATCGCTTCGCCCAGACATCTGGCAGGTGTTGCGAATTTTGTTTATTCCATTATTCAACAGCGGACGTTATTCAAATTAACTTTTTAACGCATTGAAAAAATTCATATAAACACTGCTTTTATCTACTAAACTTGATTGACTGGAATCAAATACCTATGCTTGTGTTGTGTGCAGTTTATATGCAACCAATAATTATTATCTAACTATACTATATAGATGTAGAATGATTGGGCCGTATTTATAAGAAGAAGCATAACCTTTTGCTTCAAGGTAAATGCTTAAAAAGAAGTGAAGAAAGAGATGTTTTACTTCCAGGACCCTGCTGTTGCTTTAAAGCAAAAGGTTTTAAAACCTTTTTCTCTTATCTTTTGCTTCTACCTTTTACTTCAAAGTAAATGCTTCATTTTTATAAATATGGATTATTGAATCAATAGTGTAATTAGGAGTGCTAGTTATGTTATCTGATAGCACAAAAGTGAGTTTACTACAAAAATACTACTCGAACGTGAACTATACTATAAAGTACAAAAGAATCGAATTTTTTAAACAATATGAATCGGGTATTGCACAAACCGAATGAAATGATTCATTTTATAAAACAAGGCTAATCGCTATATACGGGAACATACGCATACACACACGCGTTAAAATAAAAAAAAAACAATCTAAAATAATAATGAAGAAAAAAACATGGGACGATTTACGTGAATGTTTTACGCATTCGTTATCGATTAGTCCGCCAAAAAGGAATAAGTTTACATCCAATGACGTTGATTGGAAGGAATAAACCGATATAAGGATTAACGTCGAAACGGAAGTTGCCGCTGATTGATGTAAATGCAATTATTTCTTACTGCTTTATCGAGTAAAATCTACAGGAAATAACACCTATTGATTTGGAATACCTTTTTTATTGCGTCGCTCAATCATCTACCTATACTTACCAGCTCGCAAGGACGAATAAAAATGCAGGTTTTTAACGGATTAATTTACTAATTAATTTATAATTTATTCTCGTATTTGGTTGAAGGAAAAACGGCCAGATGTTTGCTGTAGATGCACATATAAATCGATCGCGTGGACTTTAACGTCAATTTCAGTAATAATTTGAGCGTGTAATTGAAATTGCGCCTTCGTCATTTCGTCGATGGCACGTGAATGATCTCCGGTATACGTACGGGCTTCTATTTTTAGTTTTATTTCTCTTTTTCTGCTGACAATTTCACGTGTTTATTTGCTTTTCGCAGTAGGCCAAGAGTACTACTTTAATGGTGAAGTATCGAGTGGGCGAAAATTTATAGTAGGTACTCGAGTGAAGCCTTTTTAGAGCGAAATTCATTAGGCTTTGTGCCGTAAATGTGGTTGTTTACTATTTCTACAAAAAAAATGCAATGGGATGTTACTTTGTTTATTGCTATTTTATAATTTTTTATTGCGGTTTACACCAAATATGAATATAATCGTAGTTAACCACTCTAAACCGCGTAATAATTAAACCGACTTTGCGTAAACTTTCTCCGTTATTATTATAATTTATCGGTTTCAAAAATGTTTTAGATGTGTATCTTAATTGCGTTAAATTCCTCTCCTTCTTAGGTATTTACCTACGTTGTTTTCCTTTTTAATATTCAATGAGCGCGAATTAAATGGAACAGAACTCGATTCATATCGTCCGGTGGCCCGGAACATCCAATACACTCTTATTATTTCTCGCGAATTTCACTAAGAGTTCTTTATACGGTTTCCCAGATAGCCATCCAGCCTTGGCAACTCCTCAGAATAATCAAAAGGGGAACTTATAGAATGTCCTTTAACATCTCATATAATACCTACGATAATACTTTTGCGATGTTCACTTGACCTACTAATATAGATGAAAAATCTTATTTCTCGTAGAAAATTTCATTAGAAAAGCTCATTTCTACAATCACCTAGGCTTCTGGAGTGACAAAGTGATGATATAGAGCCTTTAATATGTTGTAACTTTAACCAATTCCCTAATTATGCTACTAAATAAGTTGATTCTGGTTATCTTCGATTTTTAAATAGAATTTTTTGCTATTTTTCAGATAAAATTAGAAAAAGTCCTCGGAGTAACGGTGTCCAGTAATGCAGCTCTGACATGTGATAATAACGGATTGATAGCCTATCCGGCGGGGTAAGTGGATTTTAACCTACTTGTAAGGCAAATTGTTTCCTTCGATTGTGATTGTTCGCATAGCAATATCTAAAAGAGCTTTTTTCTGACTTTCTAATTCGTTATTGAATGCGTATCCCAGGTGAGTTGGCGAAAAAAAATTCGCTGTTCAACTTCCTGATCGCGATAAGGCTATATCTTAGAATACGATGTATATGCACCGGCGTTATAATTACATCGAGCAGTTTCACTTTTGCATCAAACCGACTGAGACAACTCATAATTTTATTGTGTATGCGTTTGATAATCAAACTGCACTGCTTCCTTCCTGTCTTCCTCTTTCGCAACGACGACACTCGTCCGCGCTAGATTAATTGCCTGTTAGTAAATTATTTTGGGTTTTTCGATTATAACATTTTTAATAATGGATATTAATACTTTCGAAATCCACTGTAACGAATTTCTAATGAAATCGACGGCGATTGAAATTTTAATTACGTTGCGGATTTTGTAAAGTTCTTTGTCGCTGCGGAGTTCTTTGTCTTTGACGTGATTATTGATCGAATTTGCGTCGGTAAATTTCTGAATGTAATGAGATTTAAGTTCGATTTATATTTAAATTGCAGATGTACGGTGGTTCTGTTCAACACCCGAACGGAACAACAAAGCCACATAATAAACGCCAGCCGAAAAACCATAACGTCCTTGTCGTTTTCGGCTTGCGGGCGATACATCGTGACAGGTATGCGATATAATCGTACGATTCCACTGTGATAATAGATTAAAAAAATAAACGCCCGGATCGTTTTCTAGGAGAATGCGGCCATCAGCCCGCAGTGCGAGTATGGGACCTTCAATCGGATCCACAATCCGGCCATCCGGGTCTGGCCCCGCAACCGCAGCAGGTCGCGGAGTTTTTGGTGCACAAATTCGGCATCAACTGCGTGGTATGTAACCCAAGAATTTTCTCTATTTATAAGGACACAGTCTGGAGTACTTCCAGACGCTTAACTGCAATGCTGGGAACATCATTTCGCAATTAACTGCGGATCATCCGCGTCCATCACACGAGTTTTTTTAAAGGAATATTGGCAATTCGAGTGATTTTTTTGTGTGTAAATTTAGGCGTTTTCGCCGACGGGGAAGTATGTGGTGAGCGTCGGCACCCAGCACGACATGATCGTCAACGTGTGGGACTGGAAGAGCAACATCAAAGTGGCCAGCAACAAAGTCAGTACGAAAGTCAAAGCTATAGCTTTCGCCGAGAACGGCAGCTACTTCGTCACCGTCGGCAATAGGCACGTCAAATTTTGGTACCTGGAGCACGGCAACGCTAAAGTAAGCGCGATTAATATTATTGGAAAATTTGTTCGTTTATGAGAAACGTTTTTTTGTAGTATAAGGATACGGTCCCTTTGATGGGCCGTTCGGCCATATTGGGTGATCAAAGGAACAATTATTTCTGTGATGTGGCTTGCGGCAGGGCCGATTGCGCAGATAGTACTTACGTGATTACGCGGTCGGGTCTACTCTGCGAGTTCAATAATAGAAGACTTTTAGATAAATGGGTAGAATTAAGGGTAAGTACCTACCGCATTTAATTCAACGCATCTCTACTAATGGTATTTAATTGCATTTTAGACAACAAGTGCCAACTGTATCGCTGTAGGAGAAAAATATATATTCGTTGGATGTGCCGAAGGTATAATCCGGTGTTTCGATCCCACAACTCTTCGATTCGTAACGACGCTTCCTCGAAACCATTATTTAGGCGTCGACGTCAGCATGGGAACTAGCATACAGTAAGTCCAATTTACCCATGAAAAATTCCAATTATTATGTTTGTTCCGGCAGCATGTTTTGTGTTGTTTCGAACATTGTGAGCGCGCGCAATGATTTTAAAACGTTTCAGCAGCGTGTTATTTGGTGTTCTGAGTAAATGTTTGCTGCTCCGGCAGAATTCTTTTTGTTTGGATCATGTTTGAGATTTGCCAAACTGTTCTCGTTTGAAGTGAGAACATTTAGAACAATTCGAAAATAAGTATGGTTATATTAGTTTGTTGTTGGTCATAAATATTTGTTTAGTTACACTTTAGTTTTAAAATATGGAAATTATTGACTTTTATTTGGAGCTATGGGCGAAAGTAGTTATGATTAGTTATGATGAATTATCGGAAGACGATTTTGAAGAATTGTTGGAAGAAAGTGTTCTTCAATATTCGGAAAATAAATTCAAAGAACATTTCCGTATTTACAGGATACCCACAACAACTGCTCGAGGTGTTCCATCAAGAAATGTTCCAATCTTATAACGAACTTGTATACATCAGTGCATGCGAATTACAATACTGATACAAACATAATTTGAACATGCTGCTGGAACAAACCTATTAAATATACATTTTTTATAGACACATGGCGTCGCCTCCACCCGACGCCAAATACCCCGACACGGTGGCCATAACGTTCGACGAAACCAACAACAAACTCACATCGGTGTACAACGATCATTCCGTCTACGTTTGGGACGTGTTCAACATCCAGCGAGTGGGCAAATCGCACTCGTTCCTGTACCATTCGGCGTGCATTTGGGGCGTCGAAATGGCGCCGCCGAACAGTCCTCTGCCGCCCGGCAGTTTCCTCACCTGCGGCTCCGACGATACGATTCGCGTGTGGACGCTCGATAAAATCAACGAAAACAACAGCAAAGGGATTTACCAACCGAACATTTACAGTAACGTGAGTATCTAATGCATTTTGATAAAGTTAATTGAATCGTAAACACGATACACGATCGTCTGGATAACATCTTTGATACACAACGTGTTGTAACGAATACAATGTATGAGTAATTCAATGCGCTTCTAGGAATTGTTGAAAGTGGTGTACATCGATAAAGACCTGTCGTTCATCAAAGACCTGGACATCTCGGGTACGACCGAGAAGCAGGAGAACACGTCGTACGACGGCCGGAACGGCGTCCGTTGCATCCGGATCAGCCCGGACGGGAAGCATTTGGCGTCGGGCGATCGCGAGGGCAACATCAGGATACACGACGTGGCGACGTTGCGGGAGACCTGCAAGATAGAGGCGCACGATTCCGAGGTGCTGTGCCTCGAGTACTCCGATCCGCACCTGAATCTGATGGCGTCGGCCAGCCGGGATCGGCTCATCCACGTTTTCGACATGAAAGACGGCTACGATTTCATCCAAACGTTAGACGATCATTCGTCTTCTATCACCGCCGTGCGGTTCCTGCACCAGGGTAGTAATACGCAGATGGTGTCGTGCGGGGCCGATAAAAGTTTAATCTTTAGGTGAATAAATATGCCCAGTTTTTTGATAACGATGCAATTTATAGGAGTATCTAAATAGTGTGTTGTTTGTAGGTCGCTGAGCGAAATAAACGACAAGTACCAATTCAATAGAGCCCACATCGCCACCGGTAAAACGACTTTATACGACATGGAAGTGGACGCCGGTCAAAAGCACGTCCTCACCGCCTGCCAAGACAGAAACGTTCGAATCTACAGCGTCAATACGGGCAAACACACCAAGAGCTTCAAAGGTAGCACCGGCGACGACGGGACGCTCATCAAGGTACTCGCGACACAATTACCGATCCCGAAAATTCTAATCAGATTCGACGCGTTTCGTTGTTAGGTCGTGTTGGACCGATCGGGCATCTATTTGGCGACGTCGTGCACGGACAAGTCGCTGTCGGTGTACGACTACTATTCGGGCGAATGCATGGCGACGATGTGCGGCCACAGCGAGCTGGCGACCGGCCTGCGGTTCACCAACGACTGTCGCCGCCTCATATCGGCCAGCGGCGACGGTTGCATATTCGTGTGGCGGGTGCCGCACGACATGGTGGTGACGATGCACGCGCGGCTCAGCCAGCAGGCGATGCGCCAGGGCAAGCAGCTCGAACAGGAGGTGTTCAGCGACGGCAGCACGTTCGATTTCTACGAGGGCATCAATACCGTCGATAACAATTATAGGTAACTTATATATGTAGGCAGTAATTTATACTGATTACGATATAATATTTTATTTATGAACGGACTATAACATGTACATATCAGTTATAGGATTCCAATTAATTGTCTATATATAGAAATGATTGAAGTATATCTGATTGACATTATCATCGACGTCCCTATATATATTAAAAATTCTCAACAAATCTATTGTTTCGCGTTACTGAGTCGACGATCAGATGTCTTAGATTATCAACAATTATCTGCGAAATTATTAAAGAGTGAAGAATTCTAAATCTGACAATTAGCAAAATGAATTGAAACATGACTTCAAAATTATAACGTTGAGGTTATAGTATGTAGCGGATAACTACCGCTACAATATATAAAGCGGTTAGGGTTGGATGTGTGTTAATTCGAACGGTGTTTGTTTAGGTTTAGCATAGGTCAACTTCCTCAATGGGCGAAAAAGCAACTGACGGAAGATACTAGTCAACCTTCTAGTCTGGTTAAAGGCGTGGTGCAGCCTAAAGGTAGATGGGCGCAAAGGGCTGAAAAATCGTTGTACAACAACCAACCGTATCCGTTCCCGTTGCACGGTAATAACCATTCATTTATACTCCACTCATTTGTATTAATTACCCAAAAGGTACAAACCTAAGCCGCTTGAGTAACAAAATAGAATTTTCATGATTAACTACGCTAATAAGAAAGTTGTTTTAGAGCGAAGGTTCGATTCGGACGGGGGTTCGAAGGACAGCTCTCTGGATAGCGGCACCGACATCAAATACTCGGAATCGAGGAGCCAAATAACGGTGTCGAAGGTGACGACGCGCATCGAAACGAACAGGAGAGGCATAATGACTGACGATAGCGCCCTGGGGGACGTCGAATCGACGGCTCACGACGGCGACATCGATTCCGATCACGAATACAGGCATCGACCGATCTACTATCCCTCACAGACGAATTCCAATAGGTAAATAACTGAAGGATTTTGCGATTTCTGTGATTTGATTGCGTTGCGTTTTGTAGCGGTAGCGAATTTACGGTAACTAATATCGATGCGGACGAGCTGCGAAAGTCCCAAAGGAAGAAGAAGATCCCGCAGGTGGTCGTTCAGCAAGCCGCGTCCTCGACTTACGGTAGCAACGATTCAGACGATGATGATGATGAGGTAAGTTGTCTGTAGTTGAATAGCAATGTTAGTAAAGGGCCGGATTTATAAACGTCAAATTACAGGCTTCGACGCCGAGCGGCGATAACACCGATCGAAATCCGATGTCGTTGTTTTCGTTGAGTTCAGAATCATTGGATCAGTTGGTTAATAGAGAAAGATATTTACAATCGACGTTCGAGAGTATGTCAGGTGGAGACGTCGAACATCATACGCCTAGTACGTGGGTTAATTAATTAAAAAGTACAGAAATTAATATGTCACATTTCAGCTAATAAAACATCAATATCGTCCAAATTCTTAACGAAAACCAACGAAAGAAACCAAGAGGCCATAAATGCTGTCAAACAAACCAAAAACGATCCGGACGCTTTGAGAAGGAGACAGGAGCTGAGCAAAAGAGTAGCGGAAACTAGAAAGAAATTAGAAAGCGTAAGTATTTAAGAAATATAACGAGATAATAACGAATAACTGGATTGATTTTAGGTCGGTCACAGCCCGTTGAAATACAGCCAATCGATACACGATCTATCCCACATACCGGAACGCGACAGATGGTCCAAAAAACAAGGTAATACGCTCGACGATCGCGCATCAGATCATAAAAAATGCTTGTGCGATCCGGAGGCTAATCCATCCCATCATACTAATAATTGCAGCAACATATCAATTACTAACCTAACTAACAGCACATCTTACACGGCAGATTTGCCGCAGAGCAATTCCGTACCGTCCGATTTGCAACTGTGCGGTTGTTACATGAAAGACATCGCCAAGAACACCTCACAGCTTTCTTGTATGTTGAATTTGAGTCACAAATACACGGTAGAAAAGAACTCGGAGAAGACCCTCAACGAACTGATCCGTCCTAGAAAATTACAGCTCGACAAAACGTTGAACAAATACAAGTTACACAAGAGCTTGCCGGTGAGTCCGGTCAGCGAAGAGAGGCATTTCGCGGATTACGTGGAACAAAATAAAGACACCTCGGCCGCGCGAAAGTCGTTTAGCTATTTCTTGGATTTGGAAAAGCAATCGACCGAACAGAGCTTGAAGAAGATATGCAACGACATCGTGGATTTCGGCAAACAATGCGCCAAAAAGGACGACGACGAGGCCACCTTCAGCTCGGATTCCCTCGAAGAGTACTGCTTCGTGTCGGCGGGCGGTAAAAAGGACAAGAAACTCGTACCGCCGCGCCGGTGCGTCTCCAACAACGAAATCTACAACGACGAATACATCGAAGACATACCGAGGAGCGAGAGCTTCTTCCTGCGCACGTCGCAGGACAGCATCCTGTCGGACGACGGCGACTTCGGCTCGGGCAAATCGAAGAGCCGCTGCACCAGCCTGGAGAGCATCCTGTCGACGGAGTCCGAGTGCAGGAGCGCCCCGTTGGAGATCCTCTTCGAGCCCTACGGCAAGTCGCAGATGAGCACCAGCCTGCCCAACAACTACGAGTGCGCGCGCAACGCGAAAATCATGAAGACCAGCCAGACGCAGACGGATTTCGCGACGGCGCAAGAGGTGGTGAGCAAAAAGGCGGCGCGAGGTAGCGAGGAATTCCAAAAGAAGCTGCTCAAATTCGAAGAGAAGAAGCCGATAAGCTTCTTCGTCGAAGCGAAGACGGCGAAAGGTTCGCAGGAAATGTACATACCGAGCTCGGCGAGTAAAAACAACCAATACAAGGCGAAGCTGTGCAACGTGCTCAACAACAAATCCGAATTTAACACGGAGATATTCGATAAAGACCAGCACCAGCACCAGCGGCAGCCGATCAACAACTTGTCGAAGGTGAATTTCCGGAAAAATACCAACAAAAAAGTGCAGGAAACGTCGAGCCTCGACCGGCATTTGTTCACGAAAAGTCTCCAATCGAGCGAGAAGGTTTGCCACAAACCGCCGAAGGCCATACGAAGGCACAGCTCGAAAACGAGAAAAACGAAAACCAGCTACGAATACATCCGCAAAGAAGACTTTTACAGGAAAAAAACCAACAATTTCGTAACCGACGAGAACACGATCGAATTGAATTTCAAAGAGAAAACCTTCGAAAAGGAATTAGAAACCGGCAACAACATCCTAAGCGAATTATACGACAGTCTAGACAAGAAAAGCACCCCGTCGAAAATGGACTACGACTCTTTGGAAGTGAATTTAAACACGCACAGCTCCGAAGAACGCCTCTACGACAGCCTGGAGGTGAACACTTGGGCGAAAAACAGCGTCATGTCGAAAAACACCGCCTTGCAGCTGGAAAACGTTTTGAAAAAACCGAAGGACTCGATAGCGTTCGCGTTGGAAAACATCAAACTGCTCAACGCCATCCAGCGGAAACTGCACAAGATCAACGCGCTCGTCGACGCCTTCAACCAGAACATGGCGTTCGGCAAGGTGCGCGCCCTCTCCAGCCTCTACGAGTCGATGACGGGCTCGCAGAGCTACTACAACGACCTGACGCGGCTGCAGGCGACGCCCATACGCTTCCGACGGCGCAACCTCAGCCTGCCGTCGTTCGTCGAACGGCGCCTCAACTACGACAACAAACGGGAGGCGCCGCGCGCCGCCGACGCCGTCGAGGACGAGCCAGGCGCCGAAGGTGAATAGAGATATCAATGGAGAGAGCATGAAACGCAGCCCGTAGGAAGAAGATTTTTTTGCACAGTTTTTTTTTTGTTTTTGGTTTGCATGCTGTTTGATTTTAACAACCATTAAGCTACAATTTTGGTGAACGGGTTTTTTTTAGCTGAATCCTGAATCTCCCTTATTGCTAATAAGGCTTGTGGTACTAGTTCTGTAGGGACAGTTTTTATTTAGGATGATATTTCCTCGGTTTTGATTCTAATATCCCCAAATCCTGGATCTCCATTAAGCAACCTATTTGTGCTACATAAATCTATATTTTATTATGGTACAACCTAAATATTCATATCAACAACTAGCTCTGGTTTCATTCTATCAAAATTTTCAGCTAAGTTTCTTATCTCATCACTCCTCTATCTTATCTGGGAATATAATTTTACATAATACAGGTATTGCCAATGATAGTTTCTAATATCTCGTATCTTTACCCCACACAATTTTCGTATCTGTCCATATAGAACAGTTCCTATAAAGCCTACAGCTAAAGTTCCTGCATCTTAACAAATCGGGTATATCAAGTTATTTATCCTCGTCATCGGTGAACGGGTTAATAATAAAACGAAAATTACTTAATATTTTTGTGAACAAACGATCAAGCATCGTCGTTTTTCGTACGTTGTGGCTTGGTGGGATAGATTTTTATTTTGTTTTTTTTTGCATGTTGTTTCAGTCTATTTGGACGAAAGCTCACCAGATAGCAGTTTGCGTAGGTCTTGCAGCTTGAGTGATTTAAGTATGCAAACTTCTACGGTGCACAAACGAAAACCCGAACAAGGTAAGTGATCCTACGACTAGGATGTGCGCGTTTTCGAATCGATTTTGTCTTTATAAGTCGCTGTAAATGTCGCATGCATCGTCCTTTTGAGGCATCTATTCGAGCTTTTGTATTTTGTCGTTAGCATGCTTTTTTATGAGTATTTCATTTTTCTTGTAATTAATTGTAACTTCATTTTCAGCTTGTTATATCTCCTAATAATTCTATTATTTTTCAATTATATACAGGGTGTTTCCTAGTGACTAAATAAAACCTAATTTCCTACTTATTAGTCAGTAAAAATATTTTTATAGCTTTTAGGATTGCAATTTTTAGAGCAACTTACAGCAAAATATTTGTCATTAAATTACCTCATTCTTATCCTACATGTCATTAGAAAACGCCCAATATACTTAGATGATTCGATAAATTTTTTACCTATTTCCGATGTTCTGTAGTAGTCTTCAAGAAACCTGCAGTACCGTCCTCGAACGGCGTGTCGAGGAACAATTCGCGCTACGTTAAGAACAATTCGATGACGCGCAGCCGATCGAGCACCGTCCTCAATCACTCGGACTCCGATCAGGATTCGCAGGAGAAGAAAATGTCCAGATTGATGAGGCCGACGATCAGTTCGCACAACAAAATCAACAACAAATCGCTGCAGAACCGCAAGAAGCACTCCTATTCGGCCAGTGAGTATTTTTCGGATGTTTTTTAGTAGTACTTTTGAGTCAAATTTGACCCCTCTGTAAATAGTGTTGGAACTTTTAGGGGGTTTTTCTACGCATTTAATATCTTGTGTTTATTATTTTTAGGTAACCTGAATACTGTGGGAACCACTGATAACATATCAACGTCGGATGAAGACGCTCCTCCGACCGCCCCGCCGCGAAATAGGCCGATCTCCTTCGATAATGGTCCACCTTCGATCGTGCCAAGGCGTCATCTGAATAACAAAGATAAGAATCGAGGTAAATTCGACTAAAATTTACTGTGGGATTTAATCATACATTTAACGTAGCTTATTGTAACATTTTTTTTAATACCGCTTTCTGTAATCGTATCACGCACATCTTTTTTATTTTTGTAGCTCTAAGACACACCATTCATTTCGATGATCACTTAACAGTAGACGCTTTCGAATCTAGCGAAAGTTATTCATCCATCGAGGGTAAGTTAATAATCATTTCATTGTTCGCTTCGTATACAGCGTGTCATAGAATCCCTTACTGACAATGAATTCTGTGACACTCGGTATACAATAACGTGTCGGTATATTAAGTAATTTAGGCGTGCAGTAGTACATCGCTAGTAAAAATTCGTATTTTGCATTTAGTGTCGAATCAATTATGCGACGATTTGATCGATCAGTTGACTTCGACGGCGGAGAAAGTGGTGAAGCTGTACAACAAAATGAGCGAGACCGACGACGCGACCGAATCTCAAATGGACAAGATGGACAAAGTGAAAATGTCGATGATACGGACCCACAAGATCCTGCACGATTGCATACTGAGGGAATTGAAGCAGAACAACGGCAACGCGGACGTCAATCAAACCGATACGGTGAAGAAATTGAACGATCTGGTGTCGAAGGGTCCGAGCGGCCCGAATAACGTCATCAACGTTATGGAACAATATTCGGACATTTTGTTGGATATGGTACAACAGAAGATGCACAGCGCTAATATGTGACATGTGCTGTCCGTTAATTTTGAATTAATTTGTTAACCTGTGATTTTTTTTGTATAGTATAGCGTTTTTTTTTTATCCGTGGATTTGTTTTGTAAACGCCCCCGGTACATGTATGTATATTTTTTAAATCTATGTCTCGGTGATAATAATGTAATTAGCAACGTTAACGTTATTAAAATATCTAATTTCAACTTTCTTAAACTAATGTAATTTCTACTTAAAATGTTGTCACATTACTGTACGATTAGTCGTTTTTATTACCGAAAATTTTATTAGTGGTAATTTAAACTCACGGTATTTATTTTTTACCACTAATACTCTAAATAAAATCATTCCAATATTAAACCATATGGCTGTAGATTGACTGAAAGAGCCAAAAAAATGTTTAGCGCCAAAATAGATGGTAGATATTTTATAAATTGGAGGAATTTTTAATGGAAAGGAATTGTTAAATTATTGTGCTTCCTACTCCGAGTGCGCATTTTTAGATGTCCCCTTATTTTCACGTATTAAAAATGAATATTTTTATCCAATGGAATAAATGCAGCGCATTTAGATTTTCAATTTATTATTTAGTCATAAGAACGTCGGATATATATGTTAAAATTGAAATTTCATAGTTTTTCTAAGCCATAGTTTTCTGCATGATAAATTCCAAACAATCGAAAATGATGACATTTTAATAATGGGGACACTAATCATATATTTTTTGTATATTTACTGTAATTCATATAGTGTACAATTAATTTTCGATTATTATTGTTGTATGTATAGTATCCTGTTTATTTAATTGTCTAATTTTTAACCTGTTTTAAAGATTTTTTTTAAATCTCGAAACAAATCGTCAATTTTATTGTAAGCTCATAATGTACACTAATAGATTATTTGTAACTCATCAGACTGTAATAATTCATTGTAATTTCATAATAAAGAATGTTTTAAATGAAAATGTTGTTTAACATCAAACAGAACTTACTTTTTTACGCTGTACACCCACACTGTATCGATGCCATGCCCGATGGTTTTAATAGGCGTCAAACTCGGCAATGGAAAACGACAAGCAATAATATTGCAATCCTCCTTGCATTCTTTTAGAAACTTTTTCTCCAAATCCTGCATCTTAAAAGAAAAACACAATTTATTAAACAGGCCCAGCTTAGCTACATCCGATCAAAATTATTGTTATTTATCACTAAACTCAAAAGCATCGAAAGTTGTTTACCATACATTACTCAGTAACCATATATTGTATTTAAATTTTCACATACCATCTGTTCGACTCCGAATATAACGATGTTATCATAATCGGCTACACTAAACTTCCACAAATCCCGCTTGTAAAATTTCGCATGGCTGGCAAGTCCGCTTTTGATGGCGCTCAATTTGGAAAAGGCCACCAACCAAGGGTTGAGCTCAACCCCGTGCGAAGTAAAATCGTGCTTCGCAGCTTCTATCACGATTCTCCCATCTCCCGAGCCTAAATCGAGAAGGGTGCCGCTTCTGCCGCGAAGCGCGGCGAATATATTAGCTACTTGTTCGTTTGTAGCGGGTATGTAAGGTAAGCAATGCTTGCGAAATGCTGGACTTACAAACGGGACGCAAATTATCGTCAAACCCACGGCAACTCCACCTGAAACAATGTTTATTTAAGAGTGTTGATTTGATGAAACAATGAATTTACCTGTAAGGCCTATAAAGAATTTCCCGATTGGTGATAGTTTTTGGAGAGATTGATTCTCGTTTGTATCAAAATCCAACGATAAAGAATTCATAGAAAATTGTCACTTTTGGGGTTATGGTTATGTGAAATTTGAGGTTATGTAATCGACTGTCAATAGTGTCAATGTCATAAAACGTAAAATAACTTTAAATTTGATCTACTACAATTTTACTGTACACTTGAATAGCAAAAGGCAGCACTTAACAAATATTCAAAAGAGGACTGTCTGAATGCCTATGAGCAAAAGGCCAAATATTAAAGATGAATTATTTTATTATTTTTTAGGTTATCTTTTAAATCAAAATGTGAAGCAACTTCCTTACCTCCTTTCTCTATGATAGAATCTAGAATCAATCTAGAAAACTCGAAAGGATAGAATCGTAAGCTCAGCTTACTATAAAAAAGTTTTATTTTAATTTTTTTTAAATCCATGTTATGAATTGTATATTTTAATTACAATGCAGAAAAATCAAAAAGTTGGGTTCGACTTCGACAGTTTTGAAGATAAATGTTTGGTACCAAATTGTTTCGATAAAGTGGCATGGCAAATTGGAAAAACATATAAAATTCGGGTTGGATATGTGTACAATCCATCAAATTTTTGGATAATTCGTCACGAGGAGGAATTAAACCTTTTTCATAAATATATCACATATTATTATAGTACGAAGGGTGATGATTATTTATTGCCCGAAAAGGATATCAAACGAGACAGTTATTGCGCAGTTTATATTGACGATTGTTACTACAGGGCTGTTATAGTAGACATACCAAAATTCCTTTGCGAAGAACCACAAGTTGTAATATTTTCAATAGATTTTGGTTTTACGACTGTCGTTAGTTGTGAAAATTTATGTTATCTCAGTGAAAAATTGCGCAGTGTACCAAGATTCGCGATAAGAGCTAGATTAGCCGGTATAGAACCTGACAATTCGGACTCTTGGAGTAATAAAGCAGCGGAGAGATTCAGCCAACTGATCATAGGAAAAATATTACTAGCAGTATTAGAAAACAAGGATACCTTATTACAAGTATTATACATAAAATTAGGAGAAGTGACGACTACAAATGAAGTAAGTTTACGAATATTATTTAAACAATTCGAACTTAGATAAATTTTTGTTGCAGATAATATACATCGATCAAATTCTCTTCGAAGAAAAACTTGCTGTGGCCTCGAAGATGCGTAGATTGAAAAGCAAGGAAACTAAAGACAGAATTGTTCCAAAAGTGAAATATCCTTTCCTGTTCCCATCGCATAATGCAATAGAAACGAGTTTGATGCCATCTAGTAATTACGTATCAGAATTGTTGAAATCTTCTCCATTAGCTTGTTCGTTATTGTTTAAGCTATTGTATCATAAAAAAATCTTTACAGTACAAAATTCGATCCTCACAGACCTGTGATTTATTTGCAATTTCAGTTTTAGTTTTTTAAGGAAAAATGTTTTAGTTCGTTTCTTATATTACAATTAAAACTATTACGTCAAAAGGATTTTATATTGTGTACGTTAAATAAAAAGCTAACTTAATGATCTGGTTTTTATATATTTTTGGCCAAATAATCTTTACATATATACACACTTAGATTTTCTTCATATTACTTAAAATCTATAAAAAAAATTATTCTACAGTTTCTCATTAAATAACAAATAATTCAACAACCTTTTACGACTATTTTACAACATTATAATAAATAAACACATCTGAATTTATTAATTTTTCACAATGCTAGAACCAAATACTGTTGAATTTGCCTTCAAAAATATTGAAAATCTTTGTATTTTAATCGCTATTGTCTTAATTGAAGCATCCCCTAGGAAAATGTGGGTATTGATAAGCTCACTTTTATGTTATAACCACAAAACAGAAATTCTAGTTATGAAATTTTGGAAAAATTCAAATCCACAATATTCTTATTACAATATTACTTTTTTTTTCTTAATATCTTTCTTCTTTTAGGCTTTTTCTTCGGTATAGTTTTTCTTACTAACTTTTTCCTAGGAGCTTTTTTTTTCTTGCCTAATGTGTTTCTAGGTTTCTTTTTCATGCCTTTATCTTTACCACCTAAAAACATACATTGAACGTTATAATTGGATAATAAACAAAACACATTGGCCCTAAATTTTTCTAGAAATCAATTACATTTACGTCAAATTTATAAAACAGCATACAAAATTACGTAGATTAGCTGCATGAGTGTGTGCCTGCTTAAAATTATCGTGTAATAAATTATTAATTACATAAGAAATGAATCGAAAAACTAGGTGGGGCTTTATACAAAATTATCATCTAAATCTAAGTTTCTCGTAATTACTCCAATACTAAAATTTTATATTTCAATTATACTAGTTTCAAATTCATACACAGCCAATGCTCATTTGAGGGTAAAATTGTTGAAAAATAGGGCTGCCCTTTTTCGGAAAATAATTTCGCATGGCACAGATTACACGTGAACAAATGGAAGCACAAGACATGTACATGAGCAGATAACTTTCTTTTTGATTATAAAGTATCGAGAAAAATCAATTAAACACATTGTAAGAAAATGGAAGAGCAAATGTAACATTTTTTAGCTAATTTATTATAGTACGAATGTCATGCTAATCAATTCAGAAAAATCAAAGAGAGGTAGGGTTGGTTGAACACTGTTAATTCCTAATTGATATATCGTTATATTTTTTTATACACGCAAAGCTAATTCAAAAATAACGTTTATTTTCGAGGGCCGATTTTGATTTTGGTCAATAAATTTTTTATAAGATAAAAAACAAATCGAAAATAGTTTACAATCCATAATTATATAAATCTATGTACTTATAATCTTTCTAATAACACATAAGGCAATCCCTATCGACTATATTATTATATGAAATAAATAAAAATACATTTATTAGGATATTACTCGTTATCAAAAGTTAATTAATTATCGACCTACATAACTGTATTCTAGCTCATTAAAACATATTTTATTTAAATGCTTTTACTCAACTTTTATACTCGACTAATCGAGCACAATATCAGCAAAATTTCGTTTAATATGATATTAGGAATGTTGATACAGTCATGTAGAATAATAACTAGTCCATTGTTAAATTAAACAATATCCATTAATAAATCAATCAAGTTTTGAGAACGAGCAGTCGTGATCTGTTCTCGGGCAGATTTCGACGGATCCGCTCCCTATTAGTTTATCATCACAACATATGGAAAACTTACTACTAAAAAATTCGCTTGATTCACTCTTTCTTACTACTAGAACTTTGTCCTGCATCCCGCGCATCCTCTTCGTCGTCCTCCTCTTCTTCCATCAGTTTCTTGGCCATTTGCAGGGCGTGATATTCGTTATAGTGTTTTTTCCTCTTCATTTCAAAGTCTTTCCTCCTTTGCTTCTCTTCTTCCGTTAGATCGTCTTCCTCCTCCTCGGACTCGTCGGATTGTTCGAGGGCTTTCGGCGGTTTGTCCAAGGCTTTCGCCATTCTGAAATCATTGCGAGTAGCATCGTAGTTTAAAAATAACAATGAAATCATGTGTGGTGTAGGTTGTGTAGGCGCGCAATCATTTACATAATTGATACTTCCCGTCGAAGCGGTAAACAAATTGGGTTAGTCAAACGATTTACCTTTCAGCTAATTCTTCCGGTTTAACTCCGTCTAATTGATCCGCATCGAGATAACTGAACGGGGTTTTAGGCTCTTGGATTTTCATGTGACCGTAATCCTTGTCCGGGGGATGCAGCGTAGCTATTATATTCATTTCGTCCCATTTCGTCTCCTTTGCCTTCCTAAAAAACCGATTGTGTGTGAACGATTTACCACTATAAATAATCGCGTTTTAACCGCAATGTGACTTACTTTATCGAAAGTTGCGCCTCTTGTTTGTCAAAACTACTGGAATTTTTTAATATGCTCTTTTTTGGTCTTCTGTTTAAGTTTTCTGCCATTGTAACAAGAAAATCAAAAAGGGTGTCACACTCGCACACAAACACAAATCACAAACCATCTGTCAAAACTTGAATGTCGCAGTAAACGTCACTGTCAAAACTGTCAACGTCAAATTGAAACAGCAAGGTTAAATATTTTATAGGTTGTATCGTTTTATTAGAGTACAAATTTAATATATGCATTTTCTTTATTAATAGTAGTTATAAAAAGAGAGAATACATTAAGTTGTATTGGACTAAACTGTTTTAAACTTTGAAAGGAAAAGCAGAAAATAAAATACTGTTAATGACATAACCTTCTAATGTTAGGAACCTTGGGTTTTAAGCTAGTTTCACATTATTGACGTAACGAGTAATGACGTTAAATTGACATTTTCAAACAATTATTTTTAAAATTTAAACTGCAATGCAACAAATTAAATATAAAAATTGTTTATTATAAAATTTTAAATTGCTTAGAGGACATAAACTTCGAATTAAAAAAGAAACTGGGCATAAAATATGGCGTTTTATTTGAAATTAATTTGTGGTTAAGCTACCTGTCAATTAGTCAATTAAAACCGAAAAATTTCGAAAAATCTTCCGTTTAGAATGTAGCAGAAATTAATGAAAAACAAAAAGAAATATAACCGCGGATTCGATTTAAAAGGCTGCGCCATATCGGTCAAACCTGGAGGAATTTACAAAAAGACTAACGCGAAAGTGAAACTCGCATGCGCGTTTTATTAATAGTTCGGTTCTGTATCAAATTTCCGTGAAAATATTCAATTCAGTCTCAACTTCAACGAGGAGGGGTTTAGTCGTTGTCGGTGATAGTGGTGTTAAAGTGGAAAACAGCAATTCCCAACGCACGGTGAGTGAAAAACGATTAATATTAGTTAAATCGTCGGAAAGCCAGCGTGGTTTTTCTAAATCGTCGCCGAGCGAATGGCGAAAGAACCTTGGAAGTCTGTCGGTTCAATGTTCTTTTGTGCCTCACGGAGTCAAGGGTGGAATGGTTTGGTCCGTTGAACTAAATCATTACACAGGTGTCATACAAAGGATTCGCATTTTTCCATTGGGTTTATATGCGATTTGGCTCGTTTTCGAGTTTTGTTTATCGGCGACGACGGTGAAATTGATTTTGCCGGGTTGCCCCGTTTACTCGGCGAATTCATAACAAATATTTATCTCTCCCAACGTTTACCTTTGCTTTTACTGCATACGAGTGTAATTTATGCAAATAATCTACCTATCTATGTGTCGTATTTTGCCACATTTTATTATCTACCGAAATTATTTAAATACTTTTTATTCGACGAGAATCGTGGAAAATGTAATAATGAAAATTTACTCACCATTTTTTTAAACATTTCACATTAGAAAAAATTGACAGTTCATCAAGGATAACCGGGATAAATTATTGTTGAATAAGACAAATGTCACTTTTGACGTTTTTTGCAAGAGCTGGATATTTCACTAATACAAGTCAACAAATTGAACAAATAGGCCGGATAACTTTCCAAAAGTATGTATGTAATTCAAATAATCTTATTTAACTTTCATAAAATGCAATAACTAAAGAAATCCTGCAAATTTAAAAATATTACAATTATGGAGATGGCTGACATATTGTTTTTTAATAGAAACGTCACTTTTGACGTTTTTTGCTTGAGCTGAATATTCCACTAATATAGGTTAAAAACATTTTAAGTATGTAATTCAAATCTTATCTAACTTTCTTTAAATGCAAATAATTTTATTAAATAAATCCAAATTTGAAAATATCACAATTATAACTGACATATTGTTAATTAATAGAAACGTCACTTTTGACAATTTCAGTAGATGTGGAGATACCTAATAAGAGTCCTCAAGTGAATCCGAACGAATTTCCAAGTAATTGAAACAACTTTCTTTAAATGCAAGTAAACGCGAATAATTTCACCGGAGGAATCTAAATTCGAAAATTTTACAATAGAGGTGTTAGCATTCCGACGTTTCTTCATAGATCTATTGTTGGGACTTTTTATCTTCTTATCCGACATGCAATAAATCTTAACGGGCGAGTACGTATACAAATGTATTTAATTTTCTTAGTACTTTCCGAGAAATTGTATACTGGGAGTTTTAACCGGGCTAATTCTAAAAAAATTTTGAATGCGAAATGCAAATGAAATGCCCGTGAATTTTCGATATTTATCAATATTGCCGTTGTTTGGAAAACAATTAGTGTCAACAAATTAATTGCCTTCGTGCGTGCGTTTACTTAATTAGAAAATGTGCTCTACATTCGATAAAAATCGATACCTGTAACAGCTTTTACTTTCGATCGATACCATTTTATTGAAAATTAATTCGTGGTATTTTTTAATACATCCATTGTCGCCAACAACATATTTATTCTCACGAATAAAATATTGTTTATTATTCAACGAATCCGAAATAAATTAGCGAATTATATAAAAGTTCATTGCCAACGACTCTATTATAAGTTACCTATATAGAAAATGCATAATTTAAATTTAATCCGGAATGTACCAATACTACAAAAAAAACCAAATAACATATGTGAATGTATTGGTCGCCTTTTGTGACTATTGTGCGTGTGTGGGTCAATAACACTGCGTGCCATTTAAGATCACACTGCGAGATTTGTCAAACGATTTCTAGCATTGTATTCTCGACATCGAATAAACGGAATAGAAGTAGGTACTTCTAGCTGGGTGGTTCTCCGCTCGGATGCTCCAACGATAATATTTTAATGAATGTACAAAGATTTTTTTCGGACTGTTACCGGTCGACTGGGAATTAGAAATAACGTCGGATGTATAACGGGAACGTTTTGTGCTTGTTTATGCATCTTTAATGGGGGCCCTTTGTACGTTTGACTTTTGGGAAACGATGCTCTTGTGTAAATTGTATAGTAATTTGATTTTAAAACCAATTGCTCGAGTCTACAGAAATGTGTGCATAATTGAAGTGCTATTTTTAAAATACTGTATGTTAAAGGATTTCTATTAGGTTTTTATTTTTTTTAAGTCAGGGACTGTAGATCTTAATACTGCAGATGCAATTCAGATTGCAATACATCTAAATAAAAAATATGCATCAGAAATTCTGAACTGCCTAAAATACAAGAAAAAAGCTACTCAGAACTATTCCATCGTAAAGAGTAAAGTGTGAAGTTAACAGCCCCTTAATTTTCTAATTAAAATCTTTTTAATTTAAACTCTTTAAAGGGAGCTCAGGACTTTAATCAGAACTATTAAGAACTACAGTTGGGTTTCATACTTCACACACTATAGTTAATTTTAACTATGATTCATTTCCATTATCATCAATAACGATCGTGCATTCGCAATAAAACTTATTGATTGTAGATAGAGGTATGTAAGTGTGTATTGTTGCAACATTTGTGTTGTTTTCAATTTATCAATCGCCGCATCGAAAAAACAGCAATTCGAGGTTATTAACTTATAAAACGATCGGATTTTACAGATAAAAGCGCGTCGCTAATAATTGCGATAATAACTGTAGAAAACACAGCAAATTGCTTATTTTCCCTGGCCAATTTCGTCGGCCGTGAACTGGCTTTCGTTTCGTTCGACTCGACACGTCCGTTTCTGCACTTTAAGCGCATCTATGTATACAGATAAGTGTACTTACTCAAACGAACAAGAGATTGATAGATGGACGCGTAATTGTTTGCTTTTTGCGCCCGGGATCGTTTTCGTTGGCTTCATTACTCCAACTTTATTCCGGGTATTAAACTTTGTGCGCCAACAAAGTCGATTTCAAAGCTCCACATACTAACATCTTGATATATTCCGGCGTAATTACAAAGCTGATAAAATAACTAGCATCTGGTAGACGTAACAGCGAATTTGCGTTTGTATGTAAAACGCATCTGCGATGAGACGATATACGATTGAAATTTCAATAGAATCGCTAAAACGAAAATCTAATCGAAAGCGATTTTTTTTAATCAGTACTCGCTGTGTCGAGTGTTGGTGGTAATTCTTCAAAATCTTAACGCGCCGTTACTGCCGCTTGTTTATTTTTCAATGCTAAATCCGTATGTTAACCGAGTTTTTACGAGCTTCTTATAGTATTAAAACGCGGACGATCCGCGGGAGGAAGCGTTGAACTCGCGCATGCATATGGATTTCAATGTAAATAATTATTTCCTTTCTTTAAAACATTCATATTGATATACATGATGTACGGGATGTTTCGTTAGGCAATTGGTTCAATTATAATATCTACAAATGCATTGTAGAGTATGTACTTATCAGGTTGCAACAGATATTTTGAAATTTAGATTTTATTTGTTATCTATGAGTTGTTCAGAAAATTTGACTTTTTCTTAAAATTGTGATTACCTATACCTAATATTTTTATATTAGGTACCTACCTAAGTATTTTAAAAACATTTTTTATACTTTGCAAGGTTTGTCATTACAAACTAAGTAGTAGGTAAGGGATAAAGGATTTTTATGTTGAGCTTCTGAGTAACAAATTTCCCTTCAATTTTCCAATATTCTGTATGATTTGGATGTGATAACTTAAAAAATGTAGTTTATCTTAAAAAACGATGAAAATACTTCAATGAATAAAGGGCAAATTGCTAGCATTACAAACAACATTTAAATGAAAAATCATCTGGTCATTATCCTGCATGTAAATGACACCTCAGAATGTCGCTCTGTAGATGAATAAACATTATTTTTATGTGGGAAGTTACATTTTTAGCTAACAATCCTTGTATAGGGGATTGTTAATGCTAATTATTTATTAATTATTACGGAGTATATCGTACGTTTGGAATGGTGAAGATTCAGCCAAGTGTGAACCGACCAGTTTTTAGCATAGAGAATTTAATAAGAGAATCAGTGATTTGGGTTTTACAGTTGTTGAACTTGATGAGAACTTTATTGTACGTTTTTAACACGGGAACCACTTTGATCTGCCGTCGACTTCGCCTCTCCGATTATCCGCTTTTCGATCGCCCGTAATATTTTTTCCTCGGACGCAACACGATAGAGGTCTGGTGGCGATTAATTACGCTACCTACGTGTGTATTCGGAAAATATGCGGTGAAAAACTATGTCGGATGTTAAGAACCTTTCGAACCGAAAATAAGCTCGTTCGGAATTGTTGAAATGCCTCTCGCCGGTGTTGTGGATATTATTGTCGAAAAGATGTGCGACTTTCACGCACACGCACGTTCCAAGTTTCGCCATTCCTTTAAATTTTCACGGTGGGTGTTGTGCCGAATGTTCGGCTCGCGCTTCCTCATACTTTTCCTCCTAGTTTATGCGACAAGTAGGTATTTATACGTCTTGTTTGCCATTTTCTTTATTTTCTTCGTCTGGAAATGCGCACTAAAAAGTACCAGCTTCTCTCACACTATGTATGTATCTATTTATATACAAGGTGGCACATTAAATATGGAAAAGCTCATTGTACCTGTTACTGTGGATGATATCAAAAGAACTTCTTCACAAAAGTTGTAGATATCTTTATGTGCATTCAATGCGTCTATAGGAAATGTCACCCTGTATATCTACAAATTAAACAATTACGAATTTAATTGTGCAAAATAATTTAAATATCACTTTATTATAATTGTTTATAAAAGGTTAGTGTTGAACGTGATTTTAGTATCGAAATATTAAGTGATAATGATCGTTGCATTTTTAGTCACGTTAAGTAACACATTAATCGTAAATACCTAACTGATAGATAAAATATTTCGTTTTTTTTTTGAATAAATTATATCCTTGTAAAGTAAAAACTTCTAAGGTGTAGGTATACGTATTTCCTTTTCGACGATAAATAATATAATGACTTATTATGGAACGCTCATATCAATACACTCATTGTTTCTTTCTGTGAAATGAATGCACTTTGATAAGGCTTTTTTTCTTTATAAACAAAGACATTGAATGTATGTAAGTCTTTTTACTGGAACTTGGAACAAAACAATAAAATATCTCAAAAAATTTGAGATCAATTACAAGTTATGTCTAATTTAAATATTATTTAAATAGTAATTTGTAACAATATTATATGGCAACGCAGGTTTTATTCTCGTTTATTCGAAAATGATTCGTTTGTTGTGGTGAAATACATAAATTTTTATAGCATGTGATACATCAAAATGAAATTTGGCACACGTTTTTGGCTTTCAGTTTGATGAGTCGTTTACAAAATTAGAGGGAATTTCCAAATTTTCGACGAGATAAAATTTCTCAAAATTTTCTTCACATCCAGACCATCATTTCATCGCATTGTTTATTATCTCCCAGTTAATTCGACGGAAGCTGTCACATAAAATCCGATCGAAGAGTGTGTCACGAACGTCGTGAATCACAATAGCTTCAATTTAAGTTAGTCATTCTGTTTGGTGTGCGTGCTGGGCGCTAGTTAATCGCTTCGAATTGAATTGTTTGTGCGAGTGTCTCGAGAAATTGGTCTTTTCATATAGGAGGGCGCTTTTTTTGTCTTATCGATTCGATGCACTCGATGAGATGCAAGGATAAATTAATAAAAAGTCCGTTGGTTTTGAGGTTTCAAAATCTTATCCAGTAAAATTGTTTGTGGGGGATTTATACAATAATTTTTCTCTGTAATTTGTAGGTAGTACCTGTTCGAGTTGCAGTAAAAATTAAACGGGTTAAAATAACGGATTTGTACGTTTCATGCGCGATTATAGGAAATCGCGAATTTTTTAAACTACTAAGATGAGAGAAAGTTTGAACAATTGCATTTACATACATATGGAAAAATGCCTTGAAAAAACAATCATTTTAAAGTGGATGTACCGGCGAGAAAGTAGGGAAATTACCTTAATAGTATGCAATTACTCGCATATTATAATATCATAACGCTTTTTACTAAATACATAAATAAATTATTGTCGGGATTAAACGTATAAATTTCAAATGCGCATAAACGGATGTAAGTGTAATATATCATTACGTTTACCCAACTCATTAATTTTGTAACACCCTGTATAGAAAAAAAAAACTTTCGAAACATCTAAATACATTTCAGTGGATATTTGTAAATCGTCGTTTTTTTTGTGGAATGAAACAAGCCTCTTTTGAATTGAAATTCGAGCCTCGAATGCAACACTTGCGCATCCGTTCGAGAATCGTACAAAACGGCATTGTTTTTCCGATTCTGGATCGCGTTAAAGGGCGGTACTGTTGCTGCGAGTGACCCGTCTCTCGAAACGGAAATAACGAGCTGGAAGGAGAGCGAAAAAGCGAGAAAAACGAGCGGAAAGAGGACGGGCTGTTGCTGTTTGTTGTTGTTATTGTTGTTTTCGATTTTTGCGAGAGAGAAAAAGGCCGAAAGGCGAATGCGAAGGCGGATCTCGAAACGAGCGTTCGCGCAAAAATCCTCGGATATGCAGGTCAGGCTAGTACCGAGTCTACCCAGCGCACAGGAAGAATTATTTCGAAGTAGTACAGTAAAATCCATTTAAATTAAAGCAGTAGAAATATTTAAGTTGCCAATTCATAGCGTTATGAAGCAAGTTTCTTAACAATTTTACCGTTTATTAAATGAGTTGCTTTAATCCAATCAACATACATTTAATTGAATAGATAGATTTTGCTGTAATTTATGTGATTATTCATTCTAGTGATGAAAGGGAAATTTTTTAATGGCAGATATGAATGCAAAAATTATTAATAAACTCTTTACTAGACATTGTTTACTTGTTAAGTTGATAAACAATCAGTAATCAAACCATGACACTCATCGCCGACTTGAATTCGCGCATTTTTATTATATTAATCAACGAAAAGTTGAATCAAAAGTCTTAATTAAAATTTCAAATAAAATAAATTTTATTAGTAACCGATTTTTATTCATCATCCATAAGCAGTTGCGTCATTATGGAAAGCCTTGAATTGATGTTCTAAAAAAAAACTGGGACAATCCGTATACTGAAAACAATTTAAAGAGCATTACTGTTGTAAATTCTACAAATAAAAATAGTTGTTTTGGTGTTGATTAATGAATTTCGTTTGGTAGGTGCGATTCCGGAGGAAATAGTGCGAACTATCCGTTAAAAAGCGCTGTATTATAGCCGGTCGCTCTTCAGTTTTGAAATGTGGAACGGAATCCGCCTATGGTCGGTAAATTTTTCTAAAATGAATCGTGATTTTAATATCATTCGAGCTACTCCACTTTTTCGATATCGAGAAATGAGATTCGCATCGCTTCTCTTTTCACGGTGGAATGTTTAAAGTTTCCGACGCCGCTACATCGCATTCGAATCCGCGTTTATTACCTTATTTCAGTCTGGTTTTCGCACGGTCGTCGAGAAAAACCGCGCACGATCTTCTCGATTTCGTTTAGACGTTTTCTTTAGTTTTGATTTTGTTGGCCGTTTCGATATTAAACGCCTCCGCTCGATGGAAATTTAGTCGTTATAAACGCTGGTGAAATGTGAGTATACGCTAATTAATTTTAATTATTTTAATTCGTGGTTAATTAAAATCGTTGGGTTCATGCACGTTCGACGATCGAACCAAGTAAAACTGCATTTTTAATGTCTATCAAACGTAACTGATTTCTAATTGTGATTCATTAATAAAAATTGTGAATTAATACAGTCGAAAATCAAGACGGCTTTAGTAATGACAATGGAGCCGTTGTGGAAAAAATAATTAGTGCATTAAATCATGTAAAACATGTAGAACATGTAAAATTTAATTGATGAGCTTTACTAAATAATGTAATTATCTACCCCTACTAAAAATAAATAAAAACTCCTACTTTTAAACTATTAAAATTATTATAGTTTTCGGTTCATTTTGTTGCCGGTAAAGTCGGTATATTGAAGGAGTGAGTTCTGTATTTTCTTTTATATTCTTCTATACTTTTTTATATCCTTCTGTATTCTTCTAAATTCGTCTAAATTTCTTTTAATTTCTCCTATATTTTTCTATTTTTCTATTAAGTTCATCTAGTGCCTTATAAGTATTTTTCTTACATATGTGTTTAATTCATCATGAATGAATATTACGATATATTACGAAGTACCATGTGTAGAGAGCATGATTATTCATTCGATTCCCTACTTGCACTTGAAAAGAATATTCATTGATACGAAAATTAATTAGATGTAAAATTTTCTTTTTTTTTCAACGTGTACTCTACCATTCGTTGGAAAGCCGTCGGTTTCTAAAGGAGATACGAATCTCGCGAATTAAAATTCAAACGAAACGCTACAATAAATTCGACGGCAAATTCACCTAAAAATGGATCGAAATTCATTAGTAAATAAAGTTCAATTATTATGCCGAACGCGCAACCCGATTTTTACTACTCGAAAGAGCTCGGTTTGTTCAACCGCTAGATCGATGCGTTTATTAATTTTAATTAGATTTGTTAAATATAATCAATACAGTGATGTGTTCATAAAAATTTCATATTTTTTTCTGTAGTATTTAAAGGTAAGTAGGCATTTGCAAACCCAAATTTCGAGGTCCAATTATTAGTGTAGCGGCCTCAACAAAAATATTCTAAAATATTCCACTAATTACATAACAGAGTTTTGACCTAATTAGCGTCGTATTCGCACTGCATTTATTTTCGTCGCAGATGAATAAAAAATCCCTAATGGCCCTCGGCCGATAATAAACTTGCCGTAACTCGCATATGTAATAATAACAACAACGACGCCGCCGCCGCGAGATCGGCGTCTATTCCCGGTGGCCGAACGAGCGGGGAATTTCTGTAGGTAACTGTGTTAAACTCACCGGGTATCTATTTTCGAAATCGGAATTTTCGCCGGCTATTTTTACGAAAACCCGAACGCGCCGCCTTTCGTGCACCGAACGGGAGCTGTTCGAATATTATGCTCGAATAGCGAAGAATGCCGTCCGGTTTTCGTCAATGAATCTTTCGTCGGAAGTTATATTAGCAGCGGAATTAATTGCGGCTCCACCAACGGGGTGTTTCGAATCCTATTTTACGCGACGATTGGATTTATTTTCGAATTTTTACGCCCGAAATGTTCTAAAACGACTCTCTTCCTAGTTGTAATTTTCTTTCTGTAGAATTGGTTTTTTAGAACTTTTTTATTCGTTAAATATAGGTATATTCAGATTGATAGAAATAGCTGGAAATGCATGTGTTTGATGCGCATTGGATAGAGCAAGTTAAATCTTCTGTTATTTCTGTTGAATTGTAGGTTCTATAAGCCCTAAATTATTCTATTTTAAAGGAACAAGGTGGTTAATTCATAACAATCAAAAACCTCCTTCGATATTTAATAACATCTTTAGAAAGCGATGATTATAAAAAAATCGTTTTATACACCATAATGGTTCAAACAGATCGTTAAATTATAATTGTAAATGCTCGAAACTAGTGGACAGGATTTATTTTTCGGGGAATACCTCTGTGCACACGTAATTTTCGTAATTATCGAGCGCGATGTCTCATTTTATAAGCCCGGTAATTTGATCGTTAGGCCAAAAAACTCTAAAATAATGGACAATCATGAATCGAATTAAACGCGTTCGAGTTTCACGGTCTAGTGAAAACGGACTGTTAAAGCAACGAAAGAAAATGTTAAAAAATTGTATACGTAAAAGTGCGTTGGCTTTAATTTACTATTCTAACAGGTTTCGTTGTTTATTGTAGAAAAGGCAAATAAGGTTTTAGAAAAATTGTTTAATTTTACCGTTAAACGCTGCATTTAATTAAACATTAAATGCAATAAAATTCATGAATTTTGTAGCGAGTGCTTACAACTTTATTTAAAAATTAAAAGGACTGCGGTTTAGATTAAGATCTCATTTCAAGGAAATTTTTCTAGTAAATTGTTATATTTTTCTACAAGTCATTACTTTCTATTAAAAATCATCTGGACAATTTGGTAGGCAATTAAACATGTGGACGAATTTCTCTCACTGTATAAGTATTTGTTTACCTTTCGATGTCTTGTAACAAACAAGGCCATCCGTTTTTTTTATGTTAAAAAGCCCACCAAATAAGGAAGGACGAGTAAAAGTAACGGCCGGATTTCGAATATCCTTTTTACGCCGGCCGTAATAAATCTAATCGTAATCAAAGTAACGCCGTGGGACATTCAAAAAAGAGTAATTATTCCTTCTTTGTTTCAGGTTTTGTAAATTGTGATAGGCGACTCAATCAAAGTAAGTACGGATTTTTAAAGTTATTACACGCTTGAAAATTACCTGCATTTGTTGTACGCGTTTTCTTGAAATTTGATACAATGTTGTTTTGTTGGCGAACTCGTTCTTGTAGGTAGATACACTTACTATATGTAATGTTTTGAAGACCCGATTTTAATATCTCGAAAACCTGTTTAACGACAGTATTTGTACGTAGAAGTAATAATATATAACTGGAGTCGTTCTATTCATCTCAAAAGTGGCCATTATTCAATAAAATTGCTCTTAACCTACCATCCATGCTGCAATAATAATCACCTAGTATCCATTCGAAATCTATGGAAATCTGGGGAATTAGTAATTGAATGACTAGTGGCACAAAGAAATTGTGATCATTTAAGTATATTTAACGATTTCTAGTCAATTAAATGTTAAGAACTTTGCTGTTATTGGAGCAATATTATTATATAAAATTAGACTTTATTTTGGCCTGTATCCCTTTCTTATTGAGACACCCTGTGCTCCTAAAAGCAATTAACATTGCGCCTACTGTTTCAATCACCATTCATTATCTCGCCATCGGTTTGGAAGTCGGTCTATAACCCAAAAAAGGATCGGTATAGCGATCCAATCGAAGAAAAATCCAATTTAATTGTCATCATTTGGCACGGATTCTATTGCAACGCGTTCCCATCGACGAGGTCGTCCGAAAAAAGATTTTTTTTCTCGTACTGTTAATAGTTATGAAACTGTGTCAAGTTCTTTACCGGCGGTCAGTGTCTCACAATGTCTAATTACCGTTTAATATTCCACCGATGCCTCATTTTACCAGATAATATCGGACGATAATTTTTAATAACCTATTATGTAGGATTGTATTAGATGAAATAATCAATTTTTCTTGCGTTAACCCGGCGATGATATCACCACTAGTTAATTATGTATAGGTAGGTACAATTTGAGTTGAATAACACTTTGTTCGAAAATCTCTATAATGGAAGTAAAACGGTACGACGTGGCAACGTGGCGATATTACGTCATCGCCGGGTTACGATGGGCGTACTATAAGTTCGAAAATTCGCAATCGTAGCCAATTTCTTCGGAATGTTCCAAAGGCAGAGCGTCGCCGAGTTTCCTGTTATACGCCAGATGAAATAAAACTAGAATGTCAAACTAAAAACGAGCGCATCTAATCGATAACCGAATGCAGTCGCAATTAGTCATGCCAGGAGTCGACTAATTAACCGTACACATCGGCCGAATAGGAATTTTTGGCACAAAATTTATCCTAACGGAAACTCGAATGAATCGGCGCGAGTTGGTGCCTTTTCGAAGGAAAATTCCAACTATCCGAAAATCATTAAATATCGAGAATGAAACGCGCTCGGTAAATTTTAATGTGCGTGAATACCGGATGCGATTTCGGTAATGCATTATAACGCACTTTTATCTATTTACCGGAGCATTCCTCCGGCGTGAATCCGCGTCGGACGTGTTTCTTAGATGCCGATGAGGTGAAGCTGACGAAAAACAGAAAATTAAATTGCACAAGCGACAATACGGCGTGATTCATACGTTTTATAACGACAATTCCGATAACAGAGAGGCATTATTCGCGATGGATGGTTCAATTTTTGGGCAATCCGCGTTCAGTTCTAGTGAATGCAGCGTCTGCGGTCGGTTGATGATATTCCACAGCGTTTCGATAGGAAATTGGGTTTTATTTTGCCAATAGTATGGTTTAGTTTAAACCACTTGGTTTAGGACCGTTTTGCGCGATGTCTGCTCCCAGAATGTGGTCGTATAAACTACTGAGGAGAGCGAATCACATCGAAAACCTGGAAGAGTCCGATGATTTTACCGAGTTTATGTTGGTTTTGATCTACAGGCCCAAAAAAGTGAGTATTTGGATTGAGAATTGGTGTCATAAACTTACAGGGAGTTTCTCAATTTATCAAAAAAAGCCATTCTCAATTGCATTGCAATGACGATGCGCATGCATCAAATTCCCAAGTTTTTCCGGAATCGCGAAAGTAAATAGTTTACGGATATTCTAGAGAACAATGACACAAAAATAGTGCATTAACATTTCATCTTGTATGAGTACATATGAGCATATTTCTCGCTGGATCGCGCCGAATGCCGTATGGTATATGAGTTAGAGACGGATAAAATTTATCATCGCGAGTCCCGAGGCGCCTTCGGTCAATTATTGTAATTACATCGAAAGAACGCATTACTGGTGTAACGAATCCGGCCGAATAAATGAGTCGAGTACTAATAAACGTCCGTTTTTTATTGCCGGGATTTTTTTCTCCATGCCACTTTCGCGGTTACATGGGCTCCTAAAAGCCGTTTTTTATTCTCGTTTTTAATGCAAGGTTCGACGAATGCTGGTGCTATTTTTGGCGATGATTTTATTATGCATGCGATTTGTTATGGGTATTAGAGGCTAGCAATGTTTCACTGATTTATTAAAAGTTTTTGATGATTTGGGGCACTTTAAATTGTTTAATAGGGTGTTTGAAAACACGCATACAATCTTTTCACCCAACTTTTAAATTCAACCGAACATTGGTTGGTTAAAATTACCGTTTTAGCTCAGGTCTTTCTTTTTTCGCGAAACTTGTGCAAACAAGACGGTTTGTTTATCCGAATTTTAATGTTCATTGCATTACGCACGTCGATGACAAGAGCCCGTATATACATCGCATGTAACGTACGATCCTTCGACTTTTAGAGGCCACTCGGAGTCGTGTAAATATTTCTCGAGTTTTGAAATTGTTTAAGAACCACTTCACTTCGTTAAATCCTCACAAAGCAGCTGCGTTCCTTTTTTACAATTCTGTATAACAATAAACGTAATTTGTTGTTTTGTTTGATGTAGGTAATGGTCTACTAGGATGTAGATTAGGTTACTCTCTAATTAGGTTTCTCATTTTTTTAATTATTTGTGTTTTCTTATACTTTGTTCAGTGTAGAAATTGGTTTTATTTCAGATGGCCGAGACGGTGAAGAAGTCTAGAATAGTAAGTGATGAAGAGGAAAATCTTGAGGCCGCTTTATTGGAAGAATTTAACACGAGGCTAAAACATTGCATGAGCAAAGTGTGTATTTTTTGAGTTTGGCATTTCTTTTATTCATTCCTTATACATTTTCAAAATAATATTACACCAATAAGATATTTATTAGTATAGAATTTTTCAATAAACACATGACTTTCAACCAACTTTTCGAAAATGTATAAGATGTAGTACAATTCTCGTTAATCTGGCCCTTATATCGGGAGGCTAAGTAGCATTTTCGAAGAATACAAAAAGCATTTAATTGCGTCCGATTAACGAGAATATTGTGTAAATTACCGAGTAACTAACAGCTTTTGCCGTGTGTGTTGTACTAACGTCGGCTTCCAGGACGACCTGCACGACGCCGACGACGTCGAAACCTTCGACATAAACGAGTCGTCCAGCAATAACGCGAAACCCCGTCCGAAAAACGGCGCAGCCACCGACGATTTCCTGCGCCACGAGCGCGAGCACGGCTACGACGTGCCGGCCTCGTTGCTGAAGAACGGCGGCCGCCAGAACGGCCACGCGACCGCCGAAGCCGAAGAGAACATTTACGAAACGCTACCGGAACCGGAAAAGACTGAACCGATGGACCAATACGTCGACGAATCGCCCAAAACGCCCAAAACGCCCGCGTTTAATCTCAACCTAGACCTAAGCCCCAACATCGACGTGGACAGCCCGAACGAGGAGCGACCGGGCGTCGCCAGGAGCCCCGACGACGGCAAGTCCGTCAAGGATCGAATGTTCCTGATGGCCGACGACGCCGCCGCCACGCTGCTCTTCACGCAAACCGTCACATCGCCCATGCTCACCCCTTCCGAAGAGAACATCGACTTCCTCAAAGGCAAGTTTTACAACCAACACTTCAACATCGACCTTGAATAGTCTACTATTTATCAACTTTATAGCAATTTCTGTAACGAAACTTTAAGTACTTTGGTACTAAAGAATTTTTGGTGGATCATTGAAACTATCATATTTTTTGCCTTTTAAAGGCTTCCAAAGGGAAACCACCAATTCCGACGAATCGAATTCCAACGAATCCCCGCACAAGGAATCGAACAGCAACAGCGACGCCGCCGACGCCGCCGCCCCATTGACGAAACCTACCGAAATAGTCTACGAAAATGTCGACCAGAAACCGCCGGAGAACATCTACGAAAACCTCAAGGAACCCGTACAGGAGAACCTCTACGAGAACCTGCAAGAAGCGCACAACGGCACTGAAGACTGCAGCGCATCGGCGGAAGAGGACGAAACCGACAAATTCAAAGACCACATCTACCAGGAGATCGAGGAGTACCCGCGCAACGGCTTCGACGCCAAAGACGAGCTGATAGTGGAGAACAACCTGTACAACAAATTCGAACACGGCGACGAGCACAACTACGAGGAGATCCGCGAGACGGGCCAACCCGACGAGGAGGACGCGCGCGTCGACGAGTCGTACTCGGAGTTCCTCTACCACAGCCGCACCGAGAGCAATTACTACGGCAAGTACGCCGAGGTGGCGGCGAAGAACGCCGAAATCAACAACAGGGAGAAGGACACGGAGACCGTGCCGCCGGAGATCGTCAAGAACTTGAAGAGCCAGTTCTCCAAAGTCATACCGGACGTCGTGAACGTCACCAAGAAGGAGATGGACGACGTGGGGCAACTCAAGATGGTCAATATCATGAAGCAGATTAATAAATTCGAGCTGAAGCAAACCGGCGATGGCGAGGGCGACGGCAACAGAAACGGCGATGGAGGAGTTTACGAGGAAGTAAGTTGGGATTCGGGAAATTTGTTACAAGTTTACAAAATTATGAAAATTTATCCGGATGATGAATCAGAAAAACATTAAACGGGATAGGAGTTGGTCTTTATAATCGTAGAAAATGGATGAAGAAATACAAAATATTTCTGAACAGTCTATCGATCATTGAAAATTAAAATACAGAATTTAGAATTTGAGCTAGATTCAACAGTCAGTCGAACCTAGGCACTTAAGCCTAGCCTACTCAATTAAACCTAGTCAATTCAATTTAGACACGTTAGCCTAGTCAACTCAATTGAACACAGTCAACTCAATCTAGGCACTTAAATCTACTGAACTCAGTTGAACACATTCGACTCAATCTAGGCACTTAAACCTAGTCAACTCAGTTGAACATAGTCAATTTAATCTAGACACTTAAACCTAATAAAGTTAGTTGACCCAATCAATTCAATCTCGGCTTTTAAACCTAGTCAAGACAGTTGAACCTAGTTAAAATGTTGAAACTCCTGTTAAGTACCGGACATGCTTAACATAGACATATTTCGACTATTGAATACTCGTATTTATTATAGTCGAAAAATTGGTATAATTTCGTTAGTAAATCGTCAGATTCTAATTTATTATTTACATTATACAAGGCAATTTAGAACCACATAAAGGATCCTATACAAGTAAGTACTAGTTAAATGTGCATGCTGTTTTTTTCGTTTTTTTTTTTAATTAAACTATTAATGATGTTGTAAATGTTCTTTTGAATATGATTTTTATTATTTTTTTATTTTTTTTATTCGTTTAGAGCACTGTAACAGAAACGTATTCTGAAACAACCACCATTCAGTCAGACGCGCCCGAAGAGAAAGTACTTAAGAAAAAGAAGACGAAAAAATCGAGAAAGGAAGAAAAAGAGAATATATCAGTCGTAAGTGTGCATTTTTTTCCGCGGCTTTTTTTTGAGTTTGAGCTTATTATTTTTTTTGAGTTTTATTTTTTTTGGTTTTTTTACTAATATTTTAGAACAACATTGAGGTAGTTAACGGGTTCTACTCCTATAACGTTAACGTTAAGAAATTGGTAAGATTTCGTTTGATTTATTCATTTTATAATTTTCACAAAAAAATATTTTGATTGAATGTTGTTGAAATTTGTGACTTTTTTTTGTGAAAATTTAACGCGATTTTTAAGTTGGTAGCAATTGACGCTGTAGTTTATTTTTTTGCATTTTTCTTTATTTTGTTTTTTCTTATAAATATTTCGCATGTCCTGCTTTGGTACCGCATTAATTTATTGCATCAGTGTAGAAGTTTCGTGGAGAAACGGTTGTCCGAAGATAAAAACGTGGACGTGAAAAATTCAGGGGTAAGGATATACAATTTGAATGAATTGAGATGCGATTTTTTTGAAACGCTCTAAAAATTACGTTATAGCGAGACACAATATATATTATTCCACAAATTACAATGTCGGTTTTTTTACATAAAGTTTATACAACAAAAAAAATCTGCAACCCCGATAAGTTACGTTTGGACCAGTTCTCGGTAATTGGTGGTTTCGTTGGTTTGCTGCGGCATGACGTTCTCCTTCGATTTGGGCGGCACGTTCTTCCTGGGCATCACGAAGGACTTGGACTGGAGCTGCCTGTACGGCTTCGGCTGTCTGAACGACTCGCTGGTGATGCTCTTCTTCCCCTGGCAGTCGATGTTGCTCCTCGCCTTTAGGAACCGCGCCGGCACGTCCTTGCCCTTCTGCAGGATCCGCTTGATGGGATCCCGCGTGCCGTGGGTCTCATCAGACGATCGCTTGGCTTTGAAATCGCCCAACGGCAGCTTCCTGTTGGGATGGTCCGAATGGTAGGTGTCCTTGCTGTCGGCGCTGTTCTTGCTCGTGTTCCTGTAGCTGCACGTGCTCCGGTTGGCGTAGTCCTCCTCCTTGCGCGAGTCCTCGGAGGCGGTGTGCTTGAACATCTTCGGTCGGGCCACTTGGTTCGAGCTGCTGCGCCGCGACTCGTCGCTGTAGTGCTCGCGTTTGGGTATTTTCTTTTTGATCATGCGATCGTTGGAGTTGACGCTGCCGTCGTCGCCCATGCTCTTGTCGATGGTCTTGAGGCCGGCGTCGAGGGCGCCGCGGATGTCGTCGAAGTATTGGTGTTTGACCAATCGCTTGACGTTGGTTCGTTTCTCCCAATCGTACTCGATCATTAGATCGAGCACGGTCCGTCCGTTGCGGCTGATGCAGGGCAACAAGCCGCTGGTGCCGGTGCCTTTGATCTTCGGGAAGCAGATGCAATGTCTCGATCGCGACTTGAGGCGCACCAGGTAGTTGATGTTGGGCGAGCCGAGAACGTGGTGGATTTTGCACAGTTGGTCGATTTCGTTGTTGCCGGGAAATAGGGGTCTCAAGGTGAGCATTTCGTAGAAGACGCAGCCGGCCGCCCAAATGTCCATTTTGGGGCCGTAGTTGCCGACGGTGAGGAGGCACTCGGGCGACCGGTACCATCTGGTCGATATGTATTCGGTGTAAGGCGGGGAGCTGAAGATGCCTCTGACGGAGCCCAGGTCGGCCAGTTTGATGATTTCGTCGGAGGTGGACTGGGAGAGCGGCGCGTAGAGTATCGACGGGAATTTGATGAGTATATTTTCGGGTTTAACGTCTCTATGAAACAAACCGTGATCGTGCAGGTGCGCCAGTCCTCTCAGTATCTGATAGAGATAGCATTTGACTTTGTTCTCGGGCAGGCCTCGGCGCTTCGTCTTCAAGTAATCGTACATCGACATGTCCATCAATTCGAATATGAGGGTCACCTTGCCGGAGAAGGTGTCGAAATGGTATTCCATCATGTTGAGTATGTTGGGATGGAAGGGCACCTTTTGGGCGGCGACGATCTCCGCGCACATCAGACAACTTTCCTCCGATTTGTAGTTCTTCTTCAGTCTCTTCGCCGCGTAACATACCTTCGTCGTCCTGTTCTCGCATTTCAACACGTCGGAAAATGAGCCCTCCCCTATTTTCTCCAACACCCTATATTTCGATTGAAATAGGTTCATATCCTAAAAATCATATGCCCGATTTTGTTCAAATATATTCTGATTTTTTTTTACAGATGAGTCATTTTAAGTCATTGTTAAACGAAATTTAACTGTCATACGTTGACAGTATTGTAACCGAAGAGCTAATTCGATAACTTTCAATTTCGACATTTTGCAATTTTGCTATTAGGAAATTTAAGTTCATTTTTGAAATTTTAGAAAATTAGTTACAATCTCAACATTTCCAATACAAAATAAAAACTGGAAAGGGCTTGAAATTTAAATTAGAAACTTTCAAATAATTCATAGTTCATCCAAATCGACCTTAAACATCTACAACGTACACCAAATAATTATTTTTTTCTTATAAATCCTCAGCTATTCACGTTAAAGAAATGGAGCGTTTCAAAAATATCTTTTGCGGGTAATACGATTCACAAAATTTTGTTCCGTACTCAAAACTTGCTAATTATTCCTTAAATCGTATCAATTATCTTAAAATATGTAACGAGGACAAGATTTTGTGCTGCACAATTTTTCATAGACCGTTAAGAAGCCTTTCTAAAATATTTTTAATTGTGAATCAAATTACGAATTAATAGTAGCATTCTAATTAGTCTTTAATTCGCTATTTATCGAATGTCTTACATTAATTTTAGCTTGAACCGTCAATATTAATCGTATTGATGATTGTAAACTTTAATTATCTTCGAGAAAGATAAGTTCACTGGAAAACTTTTAAATGAGAAATCGTTAGCTAAAATTAAACTCTCCTTAAACCTCGATAATTTATTTATTTTCCAGTGAATTTCATCCTTTCCGATCGCAAATAAACTCAATAAGACTTCGTTTTCACGAAGCCACATTCGCATGTACAGACATACAAATATTTTTGCTTGTTTTATAGCGAACTAAGTCTTTCTCTGAGGTCTTGCTTGCATCTAACATAAAAAATATCGAAAACGTCTTCTCGGAAGTCTCAGTGCGAGCGCTGGTAAGCATTTTACTAATAAATTTTTACTCTCCTCCGTGCTATAAAAATATGAAAAATAAGGTGCGGTTTGAGTGAAAATGATCGGTGGGATTTAACCGGCATTTATTGCTCGAAACGCTCGAATTTTTCAGAACACGATACCGCTCGAACTCCGGTTAAGCTTTAAATCATTTTTCGTTCAGATAGCAAATTTCCTGAAGCTATAAAGTGTGAAATATGAGTTTTTTTTTTAATTTCGTTATTAACTAGCGATGTATTGTTATTATTGCCGAGATAACACTGAAAGCAAACTCGACAAAAGTTGAGATAATGAAACGTGAAATCAAAGCATTGTCTTAATCCATGTATTGTTGATGTTTTTTTTTTGACAATTGATTGATATCTCGTTTCGTTACCTATTTATTTAGCTGCCGATGTTTCGAAATCACTGAGAGTTTGTATAAATAATAAATTTGTACATAAAACCGCTGTAATTGTGGCGTTCCGAGCTTTACTCGATTCTCATTAATTTCGACGAACACCGCGAAGTTTTGCCGCATTTTTTCGCTATTATACTAAATGGAATTTTTTTTTGCATGATTTTTGCATGGTAAACCTAACAGAAAGAAAAGTTCAATATCATCGAAAATAAAAATCCCTTGGGAATTGTTAAACTGTCGTTCAAAAATAATTATCCGGTAAGTGGGATTTCGCTGTGATTAATTAATTCCGCTTGTGCTACGAATTTGAGCGTAATTTGATGATTTTTGTTCTAGAAATCGAGTTTTAGCAAATTCGACGCCCTACAGAAGAAGAATGTTCTTCACATCAGATCTTCGGATTCCGCTAAAGCGCAGGAGAAATTTAATGTGAGTAGATTTAAATCATTTTATCTCCCTCAAAAATAAACCCATACAGATTAAAGAATATTAATAATATTCTCCGATGTTGTCACGCATTTATTTCCTCTACGATTGTTTTGTTGTTTCGTTTATCTTATCACAAGTTGGAATTAAAACTTAAATGCAACAATAAAACATAAAACAGCAATAAACATAAGGCGGTTCCAAAATTTAAATCGATCTTAAGTCAACTCGATTCTTCTTAGATTATTTAATTTTAATAAAATTTATAATTCCATTAATTTTTGGCTGGTTCTCGATTACGTTAGGCCAAGTATGATCTTCCCGGAATACCAAAAGTACCACAAATGATAAGATAATACGCAAATACATGACTTTTTTTACTCTCACTGGAACTCTCATCCTCAGTATTAATCGGGGAGTGGCGTTTATTACTTTCAACCGCGTGTTAAATTATTGGAATTCAAGTAAATTATACGGGGTGTTGTTGATATTATGGCACTATTTGACGAGGTAATTTGATTACATTTTTTTTTAATTTTGTGTACGCTGAAAATTTGTAGTAATAAAAAATCTAGTACGTCACACAACCGAAATATATAGGTACTAATAAAATGTTTGTTTTACTGGAATTAAATATCTATGCGATGTATGAAAGGAAACTACATATTAGAAATGCTGAGCTGACTATTGCTGATTACCAACAATAGTCTCCTATCACACCATTTAGAACTACTTAGAACTGTCTAGAATCATTTAGATCGTTTCGGAATCATTTAGAACTATGTAGAACCATTTATAACGCCCCAGTATCATTTAGAACTATCCAGGATCATTTAGAACGCTCCACAATCATATAGAACGCTCCAATATTTAGATCTGTCTAAAATCGTTTAGAACGATCCAGAATCATTAAAAACTGTCTAGTCTAAAACCATTTAGAACGTTCCAGAGCCATTTAGATCTGTCTAGACCCATTTAAAACGCTCCATAACTGTTTAGAACCATTTAGAAGTCTCCAATATCATTTACAAGTGTCTAAAACCATTTAGAACGATCCAGAACCATTTAAATTTGTCTAGGACCATTTAGAATGCTCCAGAATCATCTAGAACTGTCCAAAAAGTGCAATATTTGTAAACTAGTGTTATATTTGAGTGACAGTTGGTATATTTTTTTAGGGCGCCCAAATCGACATGACGAATTGCAAGGCGTGCTCGAAGCAGGTCTTCCAAATGGAGCAAATCAAAGCGGAGAAGGCGGTGTGGCACAAGAACTGCTTCAGATGCTCGGAATGCAGCAAACAATTAACGTGAGCGCGCTTTTTAATTTTTCCACTGTTTCGATAAATCCGCGGAATGTAACGATTAATTTTTCCAATTTTTTCCGAGCGACCATCCAAACAATGGAATTTAATATCCGTATTTTCGTTATCGCGAGTCGTAAAATTTTAATTTACCTGTCGTCGAATTTCGCTCGAAAACCCCGAGCAGAATGTTCTCGACGAGTTGCATGCGATAGCCGGAGGCGGTTTATTTATTCGAATTCGAAAATAGAAACTTTTAAAATAGTTGGTATACGTTTTGGCAAAACAACCATTGTGTTATGGCTATTAATTTGTCTTGACCAAATGTTTTTTTTTATGGTAAAATTACGCGTAAGTGCATAAATACCATCAAAATAATCTGCATTTTACGAGGGGTGTTGACAAAGTTCTGGGCATTCTGCTCTAATTAAATTACACATTATTGGTTGATGATTCTGAACAATGTTGTACTGGATAATTGCATAAACATGTCAATACTAATCTGTCACCAATAAAGTTGTGGCTAATTTAATTAGAGCGCAATTGCCATAACTTTGGAAACATCCCTCGTATTAAAGTATAATACTAAAAACCAGCATCTCATATAAAAATCTAAACTATTTGTAATCCCCCGGTAAAATTTACATATGTTTTACAGCGTCGAAACCTACGTCAGTCACGAGGGTAATTTGTATTGCAAACCACATTTCAAATCCCTGTTTGCACCAAAAGTCGTCGAAGATGATACGCCAAGTAAGTTAAACATTTTTGTATTAATTTTTAATTAGATCGCCCACGAGTACGGACAGAAAAATATACATATTTCGTTTGGAACGTAAATGATCTCGGTTAACATTTATTCGCGAGGAATTGAACAAATAATCAGATGAAAAATTTGCGGTAAACGATGTTAATTTAGCGAAAAATCCCAATACCTACTGACACTGAAGTTATAATTGCTTCGCAAATGAATATACATTGTTGCCAGGTGTTGTGTTTATTCTGAAATTTCATGTTTTTATATACAGAGTGGTATATTAGTGTAGAAGAGCTCAATATATCTGTTCCTGTAGATAATACTTTTATGGTGCCTATTATAAAATTAGTTACATTTATACAGAGTGTCCCGTGTTATCGTAGTTGAACAAACTAATTTTTTTTTAACTGGACGATTCTATGAGTCGAACAAAGAAAGATTATTAAAATTACAGTGGTTAGTGTGACAAAGTTGCAATCCAACAATATTACTCTTTCTTTTCCCTTTATATGAGACTAATGGAGGTGTCTTTGTTGCACCTATAGATCATATTACGTACAAATTTGCACCAACTGTATACAGGTAAAAGCAAAATTGTTTGCTATATTAGTGCAACAAAGACAAGGTCTATTAGTCTCACATAAAAAAAAGAAACAGTGATATTGCAGAACTGCCCCTTCTCTGTTTTTTACCGCTGTTATTTTAATAATCTTTCTTTGTTCAACTCATAGAAATGACCATATTGCAAAGTGAAATGAACCAATTTGTAGGCTATGGGTACAACAAAGACAACTTCCATTAGACACTTATATGAAAGGGTGATATTGTGTCATTGTCACATTGACAACTAGAAATGACCATTTGCAAATTTTTAAACACTAATGTGTATATTAATGAGCTTTTCCATATTATTGTGCCACCCTGTATTAAACAATTATTGTCAAAAAACAACTGTAAGCTTCTTCTTTGAAATCTTCCATTTTTTTGTTAAAAAAGTATTGTGAAATACTTTTAAGTTTAAATATGAAGAAAGCATTTATTTCAATTTAGACCGTCAAACTTGTACCTATAAAACCATTTACCTATTCAATTTACACAATTATTTGCACCTCAACAAATCCACTCTCAATCACCCCCGCTTCATCGAGAGTGTGCAACATTGTCTGCCTACCTACATATTTGTTCAATTCATCAAGAACACACACCATCGGTACACATGACAACAAACCTGACCGGTACGACACTGCCGGTACTCCATTGTGGCGGAACATAATCCCCCGTCGCACGTCAGAAACCCGTACGCAGAGTCGATCGAACGAGTCGGAACGGTGGTCGTCTAGGCAGCGGTTCGTTTTCGTTTCTTCATCTGCCGCTTCTTCTTCTTCTGCTGCCTTCGACGAATCCCCGCGGTAAACGGCTTCGAACTGTACACGCTTTATTAAACGCATTATGACTCACGTCGATGGGCACTTATCTTCTTAACAGTATATTTTTCGGGTTTTTTTTATCATCAACCGGCAGCAGTCGCGACGTGGGCCCCGCTCCGAACGGCGGTAATTTTTTTTACGTGAAATTCCGCGTCGAAAATCGAAAACGAAATGCATCCTGAAGGTAAATTGTTCACATTTTTCTATCGTCAAATTTATACTCGTTTACTGCGAGACAGGTTAAATTATCGGTCGATTACCTTTTTTTTTTGGTTGTTAATTAAATTGTATTGTTTTCTTTTCGTTCATTTCTAGCGAGGCCGAAAAAGCCCGAACTTATTATAAGAGAAAACCAGCCCGTTGAATTGCCCCCGGACGTTGTTAGAGGTACGGGAATTTTACAATCAGTGTTGTGGAATTACGCTCATTAACCCTAATCGTTTTTACATTAATTGCCTACCTTCTAATTATACCAGATTTTCGTAATTGCTCAATATCAAGTTTAACGTTCCATGTCAAATAATCACAACTTATGTCAAAAATTGACAGTCAATACGGCATAGAACATCAAACTTGTCATGGAAATTCTGCAGGATTTTTTTTTATAATAAATTAACAATTTCTTCAATTGACAACAAGTTTATGCTTTCTAATTTAAATTTAAGGAAATTTTAATAGCTGTTTAGTAATCTTCCCCTTTTTTTTTTGTTTTTTAAACTAACATACTAAGTTGATGTTATTATAATTTCATTTCATTCCAACTCGATATAATAATAGCGGTTGGCTATGAATTACATAGTAATTAAACGAATCGCATTACGAGAAAAAAAAAAAAGAAACCGAGCAAATGCGTAGAAGAAGCGCCGATTTTTCTTCCTACTTAAAAAATATCCGGTCATTAACTATTTATAGTTACTGGTTTAGATAAACCATATGTTTCTATAATTATAGTTATTCGGTATTTAGTACCGTAAGGAGAGATGTTGGAATAACACGATTCACAACAAACTCGGATTCCGATGAAAGTTATTTATTCACGCCGATTTGTTTATTTTTCGTGACATCGCGATGTATTAATTCGACACGATTCTTTACCGGGCATTTTTAATTCCAGCCAGCGACAAGCCGGATTTAGGGCTCGAGGAACTGCAAAGCCTCAATGTCAAGGAGAGATTCCAAGTTTTCGAACACTTCCAATCCGAATCCCAAGACCTCGACAGAGGTCCGGTCAACGTAAAGAAGAGCCCGTCGATCCTCTCCAAATTAGCCAGGTAATCCGGTTAATTTATTCATTCTACAACGGATAATAAACGTTTTGGGTGATTTTTGCGCAGGTTCCAAGCGAAAGGCATGGATGTAGGAGTCACCGACGACGCCCTCAACGGCATCCCCATCGAGGAGTCCTCTTCGGACGAGGAGGAGGTGGAGGAAGAGGTGCCCGAAGGCGAGGACCCCACTTTGTACAGGGCCAAGAAGGTCCAAAAGGAGAAGCCCTTCCATTTCACCAACCTAAGCGAGGTAAAGAACAAGTGGGAGCACGGCGAGCAGACCACCAAAGACGAACGAAGGGAGGAACGCAAGCAGGAGATACAGTCGATTAGGAATAAACTATTTTTGGTACTTTTATTATGATAATAATCAAGGAATCGTAATCGATGGTGATTGGTTTTTAGGGTAAGCAAGGGAAGATGAAGGAAGCCTACCAGCAGGCCGTGATGCAATCGGAGTCTTGCACGAATCTCGTCAAGTCGGAGAAAATCGAATCATGTGATACGAAATCGATTAAGGAAAGATTCGAAAAGGGCGAATTGACCGCCGATAAAGAACTAAAGGCTGGAGAGGAGGACGACAACGAAGTCTATCAAAGCGGTATTATAATATTTGTATTGCGCATAGTAGTATAAATATTAAATCTTCTTTATTTTAGAGATAAGCAAGAAATCGAGATCCCTCTTCTTGGAAATGGACGCCAACGCGGCCAAACAGCCACAGAGCGTTTCGCCGGTTTCCTCAACTAAAATAGACATCAAAAAGGCACGAGAAGTAAGTTGAATACAGGGTAATTTTTTACACAAAACATAGAGAAAAATGTCCAATTTACCCACGACAGGCACTTCAAAATACACTCGTTGTGTTGGAGAAACTTCCATATTTAAATGATTCCGCTCACGAGCTGTCTCTAAAGACTAATGGATGGATGGAATAATGAAATTCGTTAATAAAAAAATCCTTTCTTATTGTATTATCGACTAATATATTATATTTATGGCGTGTGTATAAAACTTGAGCGAATTTTGTCTAGGCCTATTTGGCGAAACAAGCGCCCGAAGACGTGGTGAGATCGTCTGAAGCTGAAGAGGTAATGGAGGTTAAAACGGCCGACATACAGGAACGGTTTAAATTTTTCGAAACGTACAGAGAACCGGAAAAGGAGCGAAAACGGTTCCGGATTACACCGCCTAGGGACCCCACCCAAGTTAAGGTTGTTATCCTGACGAGCATGCGGATGTTTATTGTCGTTTTTTAATGCTAGATTTGTTCCATCGCAAGTTCCGGATCGTTTGGAATTGTTGTACGCATGCTCGAAGCAGTTCCGAACGGTTCCGAATTGTTCTCGAACTAAAGCAGTGTGTACTAAAGAAACTTATAAAACCTTTTTCTTTTTTCTTAACTTGTTTAGGAAGTTTGAGCGTTTCGAATGACGTTTTATGATCCTCTCTAACATGCGTATTAACTAATTAACGCGTGTCGTGCGATTGTAAAAGTTTCCCATTAATCAAACAGTAATATCTTTTATATTTTTTTTATAGAACGATACGCCCGATAGAGAAATTTACCGCGACCCGGAAATCGTCAGGTCGGAAGATACGGTAGACGACTCGGAAGTCGCCAAAGCCTCTCACACCGCTTCTAAAATGCTCAGCAAATTCAGGCAGATGGAGGAAAGCCTCACCAGGGAACCAGAACTTGCCGGTAAGATCATCTTCGATATTTATCTTGTCATTTTTCTACCTGTCACACCTGTCATACATGTCATTTTCATACTCTTTATACCACGGCCTTGCATAGAGGTCTGGAAACTAGCACAATTTTGTCGTGGTAGGGGTAAACTGCTAAACGAAGATCTTTTCAATTATTTTACTCATCTGCAAATGTTATGAATTCATATAAGTTTGACTATTAGTCGTGCAAAAGATTGGATTAGTTTCCCGACCTGCTATGCAAGACCGTGATTGTTATACTGTGTTTGTGCTAAATGTCACCTGTCAATTTCACCATCTGTCTTATGGTAATATAACTACAGGATTCTCCTGCAGTATTATAAGCAGCTATTTAAATATTTTCGGTGTTGCAGGTCCCAAGCCACTGAAAAGGTTTACTCCACCTCCTGAACCGACCAGACAGGAAACCGAAAGCGAAGAGGAGTCCGCCTCGGGCGAGGAAAACGACGAAGAGGAGGAAGAAGAATTGAGCGATTCGCAAAAGTTACCTGAGGATTTAATCGAGGTGAGTTTCTTCTTCAATAAAATCCTCCATTTTTTTACATTGTGCGTATTTCAAACAGGCGCAGAAGGCCGCGAGGGCGAAGCAACTGAGGGCAAAATTCGAGAAATGGGAGGCGCAGGAAATGAAGCGGGAACAAAACCAATCGGTGAATATTTTCGAGGAGTACGGCGACGAATCGCAGGTGGAATCGACGAAATCGTAAGCTTTTTATTTCCCATAAATTATTCATATTTTTGAATCATTTTTGTCTTGTTTTTCGCTAGATTGAGGGCGCGTTTTGAATCGATGCGAGAAACTAGTTCGGATAAGACGAGGACGCCCCGCGTAAAGGTCAATAGGTTTGTGGTAAGTGTTCATTCCTTTTATTAAAAGACTAAAAGATTGAATATTTTTATCTATACCGGTTGTAACACGCTATAAAGTTGTTTTCGTGTTAATATACTGGGGGTCCCATATATTAATTTCTTAATAATATAACAATTAAGGGCTCCCTGTATAACAGAGATTTAACTGTCTTTAACAATTCGCTTTAAATGTTAATAATTTTTTATAATTAATTTGAGAGGCTTACAACTCGAGAGTACTTTAGGGAAATAATTAATATATTCTACTTTAACAATTAGCTTTAAATTAAAAAAAATATATATAACTAATTTGAGAGCTTACAAGATAGTTCTTTAGGGAATTTAATCTCTTGTAAATAAATGGCGAAATTAATTATAAATTTGTCAAATTAACGGGATTATTTTATAGTCAAAACAACCGGTGGATATAATTTTCTAATTACACATTAATTGGCAAATATTCTTTTGTAAATACAAAAAAATATATCACGAATTTGTTGTAATTAAACGAAATTTAGAAAAGAATATTTTTCATCACACGTAACATTCAGCTTTTGCACTAAAAATATCATCAGCAGACGAACGAACGATTATTTTATATTATAAAAAAAACACATCCTTGTTTCTGCGTTTATTTATTTTTTTTTTTTTATTAATTTGGTTAACATTTTATTTTGTTGGTGTTTTGCATTTTGTTGGAGTTTTGTGCACACTAATTAGTTAACAATTTGGTTTTTTAATTTTTTTTGCATGACGATTATTTTTTAGTTTTCTATACAGTGCGGTCAAATAAGTCCAAGTAACACGGTTCCTTTATTAATGGAGATAGAAAAACGGTGTAATAGACAAATCATAGGCGTCTCAATATCAAATTGTTTAAGGGAAAAAATAATTAACGCGATAAAATGGTAGTGCAATAGATCTCTCTGTAGATGAAAGAATAATTTTTAAATGTGCAACTTTCGTAGAAAATATTTTTCTATTTCTATTATTAAGGCAGACATCTCACTTCGACACTTTATTTATCCACCCTGTAAAGAGTTAATTTACGACGATTGTACGAGCGTGAATTGAAAATAATTTTTTTGTAAAATCCCAATCAAATTATTAAATTTTAATAATCTCTGGTATTATTTGATTCATCCTCGTAGTATCGAGAGTAATAACGTAATTTTCGTAAAAAACTCAATTGTGATGTAGTTATTTTCTCTTTTCAGTGAACGAAAAATTCATTGGAGTCGTCCAAAAAAAATAAGCCTAATTGTATTACAAAAAAAATAAAATCATAACTAGTTATATTACTAATTAAATTCTTTGTAACGGCCTTTTTGTCTATCCACACGATCACGACTAGAGAGTAGATTTTCAACCATTGACATCTCGCCCCCTCGAATTTTCATTCATCGGTATCGAATCGAATGTGAATGGATAGAGTTATCGTCTATTTAATGTATTTTTTAAAATTTTCTCCTATCAGCAGAGGTCTTATCTATTTCTCGGTTAATTACTAGGGAGTTTTTGTATAGGTACGTTAAAATAGCGTAACTCTAATTTGACGCACGTCAGGTGTTATTATTTTTACAATATTGACATTTGACGTTTGTCAAAATAGCGTAATTTTTGCCTGAAGTTAGCAGAAAATTTCTATTATTGTTTAAGAAGCAAAATATACACAGAAAGTAACGTAAAATATATATTTCCTTTGCTCTGAAATTGTTTATTGTATAATTAGTATCTTTAGGAAGATATTTTACTTTTATATGTCATTGGATCACACTACATAAGAATAATTGTATGTTATTCTTATTTTTTTTTCAATGAGGAAATATTTGTATATAAGGTAATTTTTTAAGAATTATTATCTATATTGTTAGTATTAATTATTAGTGACATACTAAAAAGTTTTATTTGAGATAGATGAGGCCTCTTCTATTAGATGTAACGTGGTAAAATCACTCTAGATGGTCTTTTTTTTACATTAATATATCTAGAATATTTTATTAAGTTTTTCTATTTTTAGTGCTTGTTTCGAATTGAAATTTTCATATTTTAAAGTGATTATTATACTGATTATATAGTTTAAGAAATTACTTTGTTGTTTATTGTTGAACATTTTTTGGTAAATTTTTTTAAAAAATTAGATTTTATAATAATTGTGAAATTAACCGAAAAAAAAACAATTCTCCCTCTATGAATATAATTACGTCTAAGTTATGAGATTATAATATTAAAAAATTATTTATGTAATATTCAATATTTGTGCCAATTTATACTGATTTTTTTGAGTGAAATAAATTGAATTTTTAATGTCACTTGCGATTTAATTGACAACAAATTGCAATCATCAACAACCGCCGAAATCGAATTTATCGAATTAAAAATCGAGTTCGACCGAATTTTGAAAAAAATCTATTTTTTCGCAAAATTAACGAAAAGCCGCCGACCAATTCCACCGAAACATGCGAAGGGTGCGACGAGAAGGTTTACCCCTTGGAGAAAATCACCGTGCACGGCCATGTTTATCACAAAAAATGCTTCAAGTGCATGGAATGCTCCGCCATTTTAAGGTAGGAATTTTATTATTACATATGCATACATTGTACAATATTTAAAAAACATTTAGTGGGGTATGAGGAAAGTATTAAATCATTAGAGCTATAATTACTTTGTTACCAACCCATTTACGAAAATGACATTTGACGTACGTCAATATAACGTAACGTTATTCCTGCAAAATTATTATATTTTAATAAATATCCCACTATTTTAAGGTAGGAATGTATTAATTACATAAATTACAATTCATTTCCCCCATATTTTACATGAAATTTAGTGGGGTAAGATCAATACGTAAGTCATTATTACCAACCCATTTACGACCATGACATTTGGCGTACGTCAAAATACCGTAACGTTATTCCTGCAAACACCATTAATTTTTAATGAATGTTTCACTGTTTTAAGGTAGGAATATATTAAGTACCTATATAAATTAATATTTTACATGAAACTTTATGGGGTAAAATGAATTCATTATTACCAACTCATATATGACAATGACATTTGACGTACGTCAAAATAACGTAACGCTATTCCTGCAAAAAGTGTTGTATTTTAAACAGGATGGACACTTACTCGTACAACCAGGGCCTGCTCTATTGCACTCCTCATTTCAAGAGGCTCTTCATATCGAAAGGGAATTACGACACAGCTTTCGGCCTCAATCAGCACAAAGAAAAGTGGAATGTAAATGCCTCAGTCGCGTAACGACTTTAATCTAACGAGTTTAACGTTAATAGCTGCGTATTTTCGGGCGCTGTATTTTGTACATAAGCGAACCCGTATGACGAATTTTCGCCTGGAAAATTTTTAATATAATTTGTGCTTTTTTGTTGTGCGCGCGAAAAATTTTAGAGAATTGTTTGTATGCGTAGATCGAGCTTTGTAAAATGTTTTTTGTCGTTTGAATAAATGAAATGTTGTCTTGATTGTTTCGATAAAATCGAGCTTTTTGTATTGTACTAATTCCTATTTATAATAGCGATGCGTTAATTGCGCGATAATTATTGTTAAGCGATGATTAAAAATCGTTTAAGGAACGTCGATTATTTTGTAACCGCTATTTAGCTGCTCGCTGAAATATTTTTATTGGATAAAAATATGTTCAGGGAAGGTTTAAAAATGTTTGTAAATAATTAACGTCGCTTCTGATTTTTTGCCTAACACATTTAGTTAGCAAATAAAAAAATCGCTTCTATTCTTATAAAGATAGGGTTAAGTTTGTATTAAGTACACTTTAGGTTAGATATACAAATATCGTATTTTTTATTACCATTTATGTGATTATATGCAATAAAATTTTTATTATAATTAGCGTTGCTTTTTTTTCTTCTAAAATGTGCACCAAATAACAGAGATATTCTGTACAAATTTTCACGAAAAAGAGGTAACCCATTCTGATGACCAAATATCAGAACCTATTAAATTTTAACTTTAAAACCCCGACCATTCAACCTTTTATTTGCGACACCCTGTATATAAAAAAAGCTTGGTTAAATCTCGCTGTAAAATTTACCAAAAAAACCGCTCACAAAAGCAACGAACGATTTCTCGATAGTATCATCAGTAAGGAAAGAGCAAATTTCCGCTAGACGAGCATCCTCCTGCGAGGCTTCTCCTGCGTTTTGGCATTTCGAAATGGACCCGAAAGAGCATTGGGCCTGCTCCAGGGATATTGATTCTCCGCGTCGCGAGAAAACAGCTGACCGAATCAGTATCGTTCGAGGCTCTCCTGCTGGCGGCACCGCCGACGCGCCTTCTTCTCCTTCGACTTTCCTTTTATTTGGCAACGCTTCCTGCCACTCCCGCCAAAAATTTTCGTTTCGGCTCCGCCAAATTCGCTCACGCCCGTTTCGGAAAAGCTCAACGTTCACGTGCCGCATGTAGTTCGATTTATCCGAGGCGATTCTCGCGCTGATTTTTCTCTTACTTTTCCTTCGTACGTGTCGCGATGATGGTCAAAATATATTAATAGTTTTGTTGCTTTAAGATTTTTTCGGAATCGCGAAAATGGACTATATAAGGGAATTCGACATACAATTAGAAAGGGAATATTATTATGCCGGTGAAACTATTAAAGGACACGTTGTGTTGGATACTATAGAAAATTTTAAGCTCAGAAGTAAGTCCTACTAATGTACATACTATGTATTCAATAATACCAGGTGTCCCCTTATATTTTCTATTAACAACACAGTAAGTAACGTTAAAATATATTGGACCACCCGGTATTAAAACACTCTTATTAAATTCATAATAAAGTATAAAATTTTTGCCAAAATCAATATTCTTTTTTAGCCATCAGGGTTATCTTGAGGGGTAAAGCTCACGCTGAATGGAAGGTTCTTATCTCTGGAGACAGAAGAACGGTAAGTTTACACATACAGTGTGTCCCATAATAATTATAAAATAACTCAATAGATCAGTATATTATAAACGCTCTCTTATGCAAGTAATAAAAAGACAATAATTCAAACCATTCAAATAATACCCCGACTATAAAAATTTAAGTATACGACCGTCGAGAGTATAAAACAAAAAACCTAATAAACTTTATCGCCATCGAAAACGATCGAAGCGAATTTCCCGTCTGCACTTTACTCGCCCGGATGGCCCTTTATTGTCACTCGGTATCTTTCCATCTTTCCCTGCCTCTTGCGCTCGCTTGTTTGCCAAGTAGCCCGAAGTAAGTACTATACAAAAGCGTAAATTAAGTTTTCTGGGTCACGTCATGTCACGTCTACTATCGGACCTAATATACAGTAAAACCCTTTCAAGTTCGAGCGCTTTGTTGTAGCCAGAAGGGACAATTCCATCCGCCAATCTCGAAATGAATCCGTTCGATTTCAAGCGGACTTTAAGTTGGAAATGATACTTTTAATTTTATCAGTTGGAATGGATGAAAAATCACCATAATGTACTCAGTTTTTAAGACCCTCTACAATTCAAATAATTCCAGGTGAAAGACGATCAAATTTTCGTCGACGAGCGGCAGATTATTTGGGGCGAGAATAATCTGGAATCGACGATTCCAATACTTCCCAGAGGTGTCCATAAATTCCCGTTTAAGTAAGCTTCCGCTTCCACTTTAAACGCTCGCATCCTCGATAATTGCATGCGTTCGATTGCAGATTCTCGTTGCCCGAATCGAGTTTACCGTGCTCGTTCGAGAGCAAATCGTGCTATATCAGATACTTTTTCAAAGTTACGATCGACATACCCTACGCCAGCCCGCCGCAGGGCATCAAATACTTCACCGTCATCGGACCTCACATAGATTGCATGGAAGAACAGTACTTAGTAAGTATCCTACAAGCGGTGGATATAGTCGAAACTATTGGTTGATTTTTTTTAAGAAACCGATAGTGCTGGAAAACAGGAAATCCACGTGCTGCTGGTGCTGTAAAAAGGGCACGGTGAGCTTGCGCTGCGTGCTGGCCCGATCGGCGTACGTTTGCAAGGAAAGCATAAAGCTCAAAGTGACCATCGACAATCAGGCCGAAGAGGAGGTGAAATTGAGAGTGAAATTGGAGCAGATTTGCGAGTTTTTCATAGACAGAGGGGTTTTGGGCGTGAGCAAGGACATCAAGCATCTAATATTCGAATACGGGTACGTATCGGAGGTAATCAAGTCGGATGGGGCGGTGGGGATTCCGGGGGATTTCCCGAAGGGTCGATTTGGTTAATAATGCGCCGTAACCGGCTGTGGGATATTAGCATTTTTAATTATAATTCACAAGAGGAATTGGACGAGAAATACATAATTTACGGCTTTAAATGAAGCATTGTAATAAGCTCTATTTTGCAACTTTATATTAGATATTAAAAAGTTTACTAACATAAATTTAATTCGAAATATTCATACGAAAAGTTCCACTAATCTTCAAAAGCTCCCTAAAGTCTGGTTCAAAACCCAAAACTTTTACAAATATAATCTTACTTAAATGTCAAAAGTGTAAGAAACAACTTTGGCCTTTTACGTCTCAGAAAACAAATCAATTGTGCCTCAAATATAATCAGTAAGAGTAATATATTTTTTACAGAGGTTGTCACGTAAAACCCCATACGAGAAGTAAATGGGACAGTTCCAACTGCCTAGTAATACCGCCGTTGCCTACCACCCTAGTACACATTTGCCGATTGGTTCAAGTCTACTATTTGCTAACGGTTGGTTAAATTAAACCGTAGCATACTTGTTACTATAACCAAACGATTTTGCAGGTTTATTTAGACACTGATAAGGAATTCGACGTGCTACAAGTCAGCTGCCCGATAACTATTGGAACTGTACCGTTCCGAATCCCCAACTCGAATAAAGCCCTGGCTCTGAAATACGGTAAACAATAGAAACATTTAAATAAAAGCACTAAAAATATTCTACAAAAACGCCCTCTTTTTGTCAATCAAATTTAATGTTGGCAACACTGAACGAACAAACACAATAATTTCAACTCTAGCAACTGTTTTCTAGTGGAAAAAAAATATCCCTTTTAGTGCCTTTACTTAATGACTTTACTAAATAGAGACTTTTTTAATAGAACACGCTTGTCCTGTCGTGGAAGGTGGAATGTATTTAGCACCGGAGTTTCTACTAGGCCAAGTTTACGACGGAAACGAACACCATTTAAAGTAAGTGCAAATTGTACTTCTGCAATTCTCTCTACATTTACTAATAAAATTTTAAGTTGGCAATAGCGTATTAAAAAAACCTACATACAAATAAGTACTACCAACTATTTTTTGAACAGGGTGTGTTAAAAAATTCCTATTGACGATTTAGTGATATGATTTATTATTTTTTTTCGTGTCAGATTGTATAAAACGGGTTTTATTTCAGGGATCCAATGGTTCTTTACAAGCCCCTGTACGTGACAGTGGACAAATCCGACGGCGATTAAGCTAAACGCTAAACTAACCAGGACCTAAGAAGAAAAGATGGCAATAACTACGTGCGTATTATTTAAGAAGAAAACAAAAAAAGTACCTCTACAGGGTATCAACCTCAATTTATTTTTATCACACCGTTTAAGACTGAAAATATAGCGACAAGTTTGTAGTCAATTTTTCACGTTTTTTTATATTTCGTATACCTCTATGTACAAGGTAAAATAGCAATTAAAAATGCGCCCAAGACGCTTAAATTGGATATTATTAAAATGTGCATAATACAGGGGGTTTGTGGATTTGCTGCAAATATTTACAAAATTTAATTAACTTCTGTAAATATATTTGAAGTGATATTCTCAACACCCTGTATATAAGTGTACTACCAAATCACTAATTAAATATTAAACGAGTATAATTATTTACTAATCATTAAATATAAAATATAAGTACAAAAAAGACGTATTAAAAAACATTAGCTAATTAAATTAAATAAATAAATGTGCGCCCTGTAATTTTTATGTCGTTCGAAATTTTATTAAAACTAATTAAGAATTATCTAGTGAATATTTGTCTTCTAAATGTCTCAAACGTTCAAGGAATTGTAATAACTGTAGTGCCAAAAATTACACGAATTTGCTAAGCCAATGTACCACAACGTGGTGCATTCACGTTAGCAATTAAGAAGTATTTTTAAGTAATTAATAAATTAATATAAAAGTTGTCATTTAAAGAAAACACCAATGTTCTACTTTGTACCGAAATAGGCCTGAATACTCGGAGGGGTTTCTAAAAATTATCTGCCAGTACCGGGAAATTTATATAGCTGCCGAAGTTTATAAGTATTTACATAGTAATTAATAAATTAATGCACCTTTACTGGACATTTCATAATACATAACTAAATTATGCACTTAATTTTTTAGTATCAAATCAGCAATATAAATCACTGAATATAAATAATATACTTACAATAAAAACACTTTAATTTTTTAACTAAGCACATTTTAATACACACTTAAAAAGGCACTGAAATTTTAAAATCACAAAATACAATATCCCCGTAAAGAGTGAGTTGCAAGAGGTTTTAGCGTAGGAGTTAAGGAAGTTTTATTTTAAAAATAATAATTGTTTTGTATTTTGATGTTAAGATTATGAATTATTATAGTAACGTTTAAATAAGAGATACCAAACTGTATTTATTCAATGTATAGAGACTTAACTGTTTACATTTACAAAGTAGCCAAAAATGAATAATTATAAGCGAAAATTTAGTAAAATATATATATATTTATATTGTTATTTGTTGTACGATTTTTTGAATAATAAATGTTTTTGAACTATACGAGCGTTTGTAATTCTTTTGCGAAAATTTGGATACACTATACAGTGTGTCCCGCTTAAAAAACGACGCAAAACAGGAGCATGTAGAGGAGCCCAAAATATGTTGTTTAAACCAAATTAACCTAATACAAAGTTAATCTGAGAAGTTATAGGTCTTTAAAGTGTAGATACAAATTAAAAAAATAATATCTCCGTAATACTACTCAAACTTAAAACAACAAAATTTGATATATGTTAATAGTGTACTAAGCATTAATCGATAGTTAGGAGAGATCAGTTGATTTATTTTAAAGGGTTCATCATGGATGAATTGTTAAAATGCTTCAGAATTTTTTTACCTGATGGAAGATTTCAAAAATTATTAGTTCGTTTCATAGGTCATTTCGTTATGTTTAACTCTTTGCCGTTTTAACTCTTAAGTCATCTACGTTATCAAAGTTACTTAAAATCGTGGATAATTAATTCAAAAGTTGCTGTGTTAAGTGGAGTTATAATTTGGGACACACTATATAAAATAAATATCTTCTCGTCGATTGGCCAACCCCGACAGCAATTATTTATTCATTAATTTAATTAATTGCATTAGAGAATAATTGAAATTTAATTTCGCCTTACGATGGATAATTGTTGCATAGATACACAATGGTCGTTGTTCCTATTTTTTTTTTGCTATTACTCGAAACATAACACAATGTAATAGTTGTGTCGAGTACACTCCCAAGCGACTCGACATCGAAAGAGCGGCCGAGAGAGGTAAAAGCGCGAAACGTACACGGGTCGTTAGATTGACAGATAAATTGTGGGAGAATTATTTATTATTTCGTTATTATCTCTTATGGGAATGATACACCCGATGTTGGATGGATGTTACGTGGGCGGTAACGGTTTTATTGGCGTTATTCGCTCGATAGCGACATTTAGCGCTCGTTTCGATTTTTTAAAGTGAAAGTTAAAGGTACTAGGATAGTATAGAAAAGTGCTAAGATTTGGCAGAAGTGACACTTATACAGGGTGGCCCAGAACTCACGACCCACCGGGAAATGTCTTATGGAAAAGACAATGGAGAGGCCGAAACTGCAGTCGAAAACATGACAAAGTTTTTCTTTTGGCAAATAAAGAGGTTCAAAATCGACCAATCCCGGTAGGAATTCAAATCCTCGAAAATGACGTGAATTAGCTATACACCAATTTGACATTATTGAAAGATTCTATTTCCTTTTCACTTTCGAGGTTGACAAAATCTGTCAAAATCGATCAAAAAATGGATCATTCGATTCGAACCACTTTTAAGGTGCATGATAAAAAATTCTGTAGGTTTGATATCAGCACGACCACAGATAACCTACACTATAGATGGGAAACTCAATTTTTTTACTAACGACACCTGTGACGCGCGTCTATACATTAAATGCAGAATACTAATTATACTTACAGTGTTCTGCAATTGGCGCCAAAATTTAAAAATCTTGTGTACACAATTATTACTTTTAAATAAGAATTTCATAATAAATTTAGAGGGAAACCCTTTTAACTGAAATAAACATTTTACTTTATAAATGTAGTTAGTGTAAAATGAGTAGGTCAGTTAAAAAGAATTCCTCTAAATTTATTATGAAATTGTAGATTTGAAGGAGAAAAAATAAAAGAAACAACAATCTTCTATAGCTAAAATAGGTATATTCTACAATGGTCTAATTCACAAGGTATATTTTTTTAAATTTAGGTATTCTTCTTTGATACTCGTCATGGGCCCTTTTAAATAATTCATTACTACCTATTAGAACGGTTCCTATTAATAAACAGTAATAAGGATAACTAACTGTAACGAATTCCGATATAGCATTATTCAACTCACAACACGCACGTAAAAATACAATAAAGACACAAATGTCCGAAGTTAAACCATAAATGGCATAAAATAACCAAAAACTCAAAAACGACAGAAAATACGAAGGAAGTCGTTAAGTCTGTTTCATACAGGTGTTTTATACAGATAAAAACGCGAATCCGGCCATAAAGGGCGGAACGGACCAATAGGACCTATGGACTTTACATAGCTAACATACTAACTTGACGGGGACTTTACTAGGCCATTTTCATACACTGACATCTATAGCAAAACATGCGCAGTGGTGTTTCATGGAGGCTCGAAACAGGTGGAGCCAGTAGCCACGAGTTCCCATACCCTGAGCACGACGAAGCTCCTGAATGATCGATTTGGAAGCAAATCTTTGATCAATAGTCACAGCTGATTTTGGCAGCTTTTGTTAACCTTGAAAGTGTAAAGGAAATAGAATCTTTCAATAATGTCAAATTGTTGTATAGCTAAGTCACCTCATTTTCGTGGATTTAAATTCCTACCGGGATTGGTCGATTTTGAACCTCTTTATTTACCAAAAGAAAAACTTTTTCCTGCCTTCGACTGCAGTTTTGGCACCTTCATTGTCGTTTCCATAAGGCATTTCCCGGTGGGGCGTGAGTTCTGAGCCACCCTATATACATAGGAATAAATAGTTGAGCAAAAGGATTGGTGCAAATCCAGGGACAAACTGTATAGGTACAATTTGTTATTTTTGAGTCCTTTTTTTGATTTCCAAAAAACAGTAATTTTTTCTCTATTGGATGTTGTTTTTTGTTCTCTCTGAAGAGTACATTGTTGACGTTTCGTTCTTGCAGAACCATCATCAACTTTACAAGATTTTTGCATCTTAAATGCACATTGTCATTCATGATTAAATTGGTTTATATTTTTTTGATGCACTTCTACCCTACGTTATTTTAGTTATTCATAAAATAATTGATGGCTCTTTAATCTTCCATCCACTGTTAAATTACACTCCGATTATTTTCGAAGAAAATACAACACCCTTACCAAAACAAATTCAATCCCTAAACCCTTACAAAACTGTACACAAAACCTACAAATTTAATCATCAATCTCGCCCGATAATAATTAACGAACAAACCATCTTCGCATGTCTAACGAGTAATATTTAATTGACATTACACCAATCATTTTCTCTCGATGATAAAAAAAACGCGTTATTTAATAACAACCGTTCTCGATTAGCCATCGTACGAATTTTTGTTTTCGGAACATCTTCCCGCCCGCGGGCCCCTCTTAATTGCCCCTTCGTCCAACCGGCTGACCATTAGAAATTACCTAATCGAAGAGCGCCGAAGAAAGGAAGAGCCGCGAGAGAAAAGAAACCCCGCCGGTCGGAGTTCGATCGCCGCCGGTTTTCCTGGTTGTGCCGAGAGGAAGACGCGCCGGGTTCGTGTAATTATCCGCGTGAAAGTACACAAACACGAAAGTCTCAAGAATATCTGACCTATTGCCTTCAGTATCGGTACGCAACGGTTTCGATGCGCCTTCTCTTCGGTTTAATGTACCCAGTTAGAGGTGCGAATGCGATAAATTTCGAATCCGACGAGCCGCTTTTCGTTTGCATTCAAAATAAATTCTTATCAATCTGCAGCGCATTTTGCTCCTTTATTCGATTTCTAATTGGGATATTTACATGTAAATTCGCTTGAATGTTCCAGTACGTTTTAAACTTTATATACTTCCCACTTTATTAATTTATTAATATTTATTACAGTCACATTAATTAACAGTGATCACCATAGGAGTACGATTACCTTAATAAACAACATAATGAAAATACTG